TGGACCCTCGTGTGTGCGTGTTTGTGTCTCTCTGCCCTGTCTACCATTCAGGGTGTATCCTGCCTTGTGACCATTGGTCAAAAGACTGCAGCTCTCCTGTGACCTTGAATTGGATGAAGTGGTTAGAAAATGAATGGATGCATTGTTGCAGTACTGTAATAACAACAGTTGTATGTGTAATCAAAGAGTGCGTTCCGACTTCTGTAAATTTTGGCTTAAGGTTGTGCGGAATGAAACCCTTCTGTACTGCAAGTTGGTGAATACCAGTAAATGTGTGTCTAGGGATTTTTCCTATAAAGATAAACACTCTCTGTCATCTTCAAGAGAGCCTTTCTGCTGTCACGGTCTCCGTTCTGGTCTGTGAAACACCTCCCAGTGCTTCACTCTGTTTTAAATACGCTTACACCTTTTGCTTTCTGACTGGGAGGATTGCACATCATTTGGGATTCAAATGTCTGGACTGGATGGTCCAGATCAAATCCTGGGTGGGGGAGCTACTGTGTTCCTCTGAGCCGGGAGTCTCACTCTGACTGACTCAGGGAACACGCCTTGAATAGAAGTCATTCTGAGTAAGAGAGCCGGCCCAAATGGTAATTTTACTGTGTACCAGTGCAGCACGCTGTGTGATGGACATTCGAATGTCTGGCAACAGGGAAATTCTCCCACACCTCTGGAGCAGTGCTCCTGGCAGAAGTATTCTTCACAGGCTGAGGTTTATTTATATAAAGCATGTTTTTGTCAACAAATATATTTCATTACACCCCTTTAAATGGGTTAAACATCTACATAAGTCATGTTAATCAGGAGAAGGCAGGAGCCTTTCCTGTTTTTCTGTGTTCAAACTGGGAGCTGGTTTCTAACAGTACAGCAGTGAACAGCATCCTGCCTGATTCCTGTTTTACAGAAGTGGAGTCATATGCAAACTCCTATGTACTGGGGGCATTTCTCAGCCTAAAATCTAGACTAAAACTCCAGGGGCTTTTGCAGTCGCACTTCTGTACAAACTAGGTCAATTTAACTCCATCTCAGAAGCCAATTAACCCACCAGTATGTTTTTTGGTCTTTGGGAGGAAACCAGAGCACCCGGAGAAAACTCACATTTTTGGGAGAACATGCAAACTCCACATAGACAGCACCCTTAAGAATTGAACCCTGGGCCCAAGCGCTGTGTTGGACCTATACAAACCCCTGCACCACCGCGCTGCCCTGTTTTTAAAACATACGGGTGTAATTTACTGAAATCGTTTTTAAATGAAGAGACAATGCAGAAATGAAAAAAAATGTATTTTATTCATGTAATTGTTTTCCCCATCACCAGAGCAATTCGTCAATATACAAAAAAATTGAAACAATTACACTGGTTTTCCAGCAGGATTGAGGCCTGGGGGTTGTTCTGGATAAGAGGGGGGAAGGAAAGTCTGTGTCGGGCCTCACAAAGCCCACCATCCCCTCCTAGTCCCGGAAAAAATCTATTCAGTTAACTTTTCCAAAATTCCCAGTACTTGAGCTGTGAGCACCCTCCCTTTAACTTTCAAAGCATCACAAATTCATACTATGACAATACTGACATTTTAGTAGGAGACTTAACTCTACCTCAAAAATACAGAGTACAAAAGCGAGCAAAACAATAGAGAAAAAGTTGTAGCCTGTAGTTTTCCTTGCATAACTGCACCACATGGACTCTGCTGTAGATTTGCTTTGGTAAAAATGTTGGTCCATGGACTCATGGTTAAAGCAGGCTGCAATGCAGGGAGGGAGTTGTGGTACATGCTGAGACATCATATCGAAGCATAAAGAATGTAGGGAAAACTAGAAAAAATGGCCTACCTGATACAGTTGTGGCCTTTCATGAAGATTGCTGCAATGGAGTTACGTCACGTGTTTCCATCTGCGTGAAAGAGTCTTCTGCATCCCCTCCGACCAAACCTGCTGTTCGAGCTGTGGCATCGACATGCATCTCTATGTCTGCAGAGGCTCATGCCCTGTTGTCAGGACCTGGGCAGTGGAGAGGCTTGAACTCCTCTGCACTCATGGTTGGGCAAAGAGGTGGGGGGGAACACAGCTGCCTTCCTCATGATGGACCCCAAGCGCACAGTTCAAAGTGGTCAGTCACTTATGTGACTGTGACTATACCACAGTGGTCAATGGTAGCATATCTTTCAGCCTGTGAAAAATGATAGGATGTGCAGGCTCCCCTGGGTTGGAATCGAACCCGGGATCTGAGAAACAGTTGTGCTAACCACTGTGCCTCCTGAGATGCACGTTCCAATACTGGTATTTTCTGCACTGTGCGTGCCGGGCTCAGGTTTCACTTTTGCTCTTGAAGCAGTCACATGTGTTGTGAGTCATTCTGCATTGTGGGGCACAGCCCTTCCTCCTGCTTGGGCAAGCGCAGATGCAGCTCTAATAATAATTCCTTGCGCTTATATAGAGCTTTTCTGGATACCCTACTCAAAGCTTAACTTTAGGGGGCTGCTAAACTTAACTTTAGTTAAGGGCCGCTTAACTAGCTCACCGCCAGTGGTAAGCTACAGGGTGACATAACTGCTGAAAATGCCTTCTTCTAAAAATTGCTCAATCACTCTGACTGAAGCCTAATGATACAGTATATGCACCTCACTGTGAGCAGACCAGTGTGTACCTCCTGTGGTTTTAATGTAAATGTCTGTGCAGTGTTTCACAGCCAGAACAGGCTGGGCAAGTTCCCTTTATTGAACAATAATCCATCCTACCAAGTGCTAGGAAAGACAGAAGAGACAGTGTGTTGCTTAACCTCCTTTCTGTCTAGACTTTCGGGGCCTGTTCATCTTGTCCTGAACATGTGGAGGATAGTGCTGTCCAGTCTCAGCCACACCAGTACGTGGGAACTCCTTCCCCAAATTCTGCCTTATTCTCCTCTCTCCCAGCTAGATGAGAGAGATAAAGCTTGTAAAAGCTTCTGAAAGAGGCATGCATTTTCAAACATCACAGTTGTGAGCAGGAGATGTTGGGCACGTGACTGGAAGCATTCTGCTTCTGCAAGCATACACACATACAGACATGTGTGCATCTGTGGTACATGCTGTACATGCTGCTGTATATTTGGGTGCCTGCTTGTAAGATTTTGGGTCTGTTTCCCTTCAAGTGTTAATTAATTATTTGATATACACTGACCATATAGGCAGAGTTTCTGTCTTGTTAATGCAGTGAACATTGTCACAGAGGTAGGCTTGCATAGCTGAGACAACACCTGGCACAAAATGGAAAAGACACAAACACACACTCATGCGTATCTGGCAGCATAGCCTTTAATTTAGCCATGCAGCTGCTCTTGCTGAGGTCTTGACATTTTATGACAAGACAATGTGTATCCCAGAAGTCCTGTGAGAAAATCAGGTATCTCCCGGCTTCAGCAGGGACACCTCTCCTGGTATGTACTGTAAGTGCTGTGTGAGCTACTACTGCTGTCGCTGCTGGTGCAGCAAATCTTATCCGTAATGACTTATGGACAAGCAACGTAACTCCCATTAACATTATTTGGGGTTTTCCTTGAAAGAGGCAGGTGTAAGGGTTCTTGGGGTTTCTGCCCTTGCCCCTCCTGCCCTGCCAGTACGTCCCTCACTGCCTGGGCATGAGCCCGGGTCTCCGGCGTCACGCAACAGGGAACTTGCCAGCTGAGCTAAAGGAGAACTCCTCTTCTACCCCTGTTATATGCAGGGTGTATTCGTTACACAGGCAGCAGGAATAAGGTAATATTGAGAATTATGCATTTCAAAAGGCTGTTGGATTTCGTGTTCTGTAATACTCAGACAGCAAAAGCTCGCAGAATGGGAGCGGTTACTTCGATGTGGCTCACTCCCCACATGACTCCACCCTCTCAGGAGGGCCTCTTCTGCGAGAGCAGGCCTCGTGGACGCACGCTATTTGAAGTGGTTGTATACCACTGTGGCCACTAGGTGGCAGTATAATGTTGAGTGTCAGTGAGGGAGAATGCTTTTTATAGGGCAAGATTGATTGCTATTATGACAGAGCGCTAGAAAGAGGCCTTGGTGTAATGTTTGAATATTAGTCTGGGCAGCCTCCAGGATGAGCTGCCTGTTTCCTCTCAGAGCTCATAATAGAAATGGACTGTGGGGGTGTGGTCATTTTTCTTGTCTCAGAGATAATTAGATCACAATTCAGCCACCATTGCAACCAATTAAAGCATCTTTTTGTTTGACTCACAAAACAAATAGCACTGTACTATAGCGTTGTGAATGGGAATTTTGTTTTAAAACCGAAGTTCTGAATTAGAATTCATTACAGTCTTATTTGTCCTCAAATGACCTCTTTGAGACGTTTGTCAGTAGTTTGTCTGGTTTCTGACCAGCCAACAGTGTTGAGACAACATGTGCGCCTGGATTGAAGTCTGAGGGAGGCTGTTCTCTACATCGAGAGTAATGGATCTATAGGACACTTCTAATTTGCAATGGCTTGCCTATGCAAATCTGTACAATTGATCAATCATTCACACATATTGTCTGATAATTAGAATAGTGAATAGGTCTTCAGCAGAGCACCAATATAAATACATTTTTTTAAAGTGACCAACTGGAAATGTCAGGGTATCCCTACTGTCAATCCTCATTCTACTTTAAATGAATTCATTTCAATGCCTCAGCTGGGCAGAAAGATTGTATTGTGCAGGTATTAGTCCTATAGATGGCCACTGTTCTATAGGGTATATCAGGTATCTTGTTACCCTGTTATGTTCCTAATAGCAGCAACAGCTTAAATGAATTTTTTACAGCAGAGGAAAGACTCAATGGACCTGAGGATTTGGTTTAAGCGCATTAATAGCAATCAAATTAGTTATTGTGATCAGCTGCTCATTTTGTCTGATCAGCAGCAGGAAGACAGAACAGCTGATTGGTGTTATTGATTTTGGCGGGAGGGGTCTGCCCTCAAGGGCTTGAAAAGATCAACTTTGACTTTAAAATGAGAGAGACAGAAATCAGAACAAACAGAAAATGGGCAGGAAATAAAGAAATAAAGAATATTTTCAATGCTTATTGCAAGGCAGCAACACTCAGTAACTGAGTTGTCAGTCTGTTTTAGTTTAGTTGAACTGCGTTTATGTGCTAATTTCTTTTGGTTTAGGGGCAGCTCTATAACTGTGTCCTGTCTCAACTGGTTTAGAGGGCTTAGGAGGCCAACTGGTAACTTTATTTAATTTTTAGAAGGGGTAGAAATTGGGGTGAAGGGGGAAGTCCTTCAGTTTCTCAAGCAGTGAACCAATTTGCTAAGTCAAGGAGTCCAGCTGTCTCGAATAAACATGAATAGCCTAGATGCAGACTGCTTTTTCTCATAACCCAACAGCAGGACAGAAAGAAAAAGCTGTTGCTTGAGTCTGAAAGAGTGATGAAATAGTCCCTGAGTGCCTTGCCTGTGGGCTGCTGGGGCATAGTGACGTGCTGTTTCAGCTGTGGGCTGGTTTTTTCTCTCAGTATCTGCTGTTTGAGTTGGCTGTGGAGGGAGGAGTGCTGTATGTGTGGGGCCTGCTCTCAGGAGAGAGAGAGAGAGGGAGGGAGAGAGAAAGAGGAAGTGTGAGAAAGGGAGGGAAAAGAGACAGAGGGGAGGACTGTGCAGGGAATAGAAAGGTAAGGCCTAGTGTTATTTAAATCAGTCCAGGTCTGGTCTGACTAGTTTCTTACCCAGAGAGGAAAAGGAAGTGGGTGCTGAGAGAGAGAACGGCACTGAGAAAGGAAAGAGCCCGCAAAACAAACAAAAAAAAAACTGCAAAATTGGTGAGCCTCTTCTTGCTGTAAAGGGGGACATAAAAACCAAACGGAGGAGAAGATGGGAGGTGAAGAAGAGAACTACTATGGAAAACATGGTAAAGTCACTTTGTTTGTCTGACTGTGTGTGCTTGCATGTCCTCTGGGTGTGCTGGAGTGAGGAAGCCGAGATGTACAATGTGCACCGAGTTTTCGGCAGACCTGCAAAAACAAACTGCCATGCTGTTAAAACACAACCTCTGGTTCTTTATCAGGTGTTTGTAGAGCTCCTGTTATACCGTAGCTTGAGTGTAAAAACAGCTGTGCACTGTTGCCCAACCTGTTGTAGTCCAGAGCCTTAGTTCAGTTTGCAGGAAAATGCAGGAGCCGGGCATTCCTGCGCTGTCCCTGTGCAATGTTGGGCTATCGAATTTCAGGGCTTTGTGAGTCACACCTCCTTTACAGCCTTGGCTGGGAATTCTCTGGGAACGTTTTGAGAAAGGTCAGATATCCTGGAGGTATCGAGGTGGAAGGCAACTGAGCATTGCTAACGGGGTCCTGCCTTTGCCCAGGGATGAATTCCCTGGTTCCCAGATGAGACTGGTTGCTCTGTCTTAGACTTTTTCTTTCAAGGTTCGGAAAATCTGCTTTCCAAAGCTGACTTGCTCAAACAAACAAGGAGGAGCCACCTCTCGCCCACACCCGCTGTGTTAAAGACACACTGCGGAAAGGTCTAGCCAGACAGCAGGAATTGAACTCGTTGGGTTACCCGTCTGCATAAAATGCACCTTGTGTGCAGGTGAGCTAATTTTGTGGCCTTTTCTAACAAGATCAAGGTGTTGCTTCTCAACAAGCTGAAGTGATAATACTGGCAACAGCCCCTCGTCTTACCCAGAGACTGGGGAGTGACCGAGGCTGGGATTGGTTAGTAATGGGGTGGCAGAAGTGTCCAGTCCTGGTCCTGGAGGGTCAGGGGTTCTCTGCAGGGTGCCAAGCAGCTGATTAGCTGGGATAAGCTGTTAAATTGGTCCAGTTAACCCTGTAATGAGGTGGTTTAGTACCCTGTGGGTACACTTGCCCTCCAAGATGAGGACTGCCCACTGCAGTAGTAAAGAGAAGCTGGTTGGTGCTGGAATTGGTGTTGGAGGACCAGTAGATAGAAACTGTGGTAACACTAGGTAGTGATAACCTCATTGTCCTGGCTCAAGTCCACTCTGTGCTTGTGTAATCTCCCAGGTCCCCGAATGAAACTCCTGAACCAGTTGCTCACTCCTCCCCTTGAAGGGGGAGGCTGTTGTGCAGCAGGAGAGGCTGAAGTGAGCTCCTTCATGTATTTCAAGAGCTTCATTGGCATGTTTTCGTCATACCTGTGCTCGTCGGCCCACAAACAATCACACCAGACTCACAGCGCCAATCCCGTCATTCAGTCTTTGCCTACCAAAGCAGGTTGTTGTGGTTAATCAGTACCACCTTTCAGACTCTAATATCATCAGGTATTTAAGACCCCCCTTCTCATCCTCTGGTGCATAGTCTTAGTCATTAGTTATCAATCAAGTTTATTTATCAAATGCACAACAATACAGCGTGCAGCAGTAGTTGCTGGCAATGAAATGTCTTTTCTGCTATCTCACAAGAATCACAGAAATCACAAAAAACACAGAACTGAGGTAATAGATGTAATAGAAACGGAATAAAACCCAATATGAGTAGAGCTGTTATGTGTCTATCGTGTATGCAATATATACAAGTAGTGGGGTTATGCTGAATACAGTGAAAACTGTGTGTCCATGTAGCCATTACATGTGACTTGCTAAAGGAGCTGCAGGTTGGCTATTTAGCAGGCTTATTGCCTGAAGGTAGAAGCTGTTCCTCAGTCTGTTGGACTTGGACTGAATGCTTTGGTACCGTTTACCGGACGGTAGGAGGGAAAACAGTTTGTGACTGGGGTCCTTGAGAATGGACCTGGCCTTCTTCAGACATCTAGCTGAGTAGATATCCTGGATGCTTGGTAGCTCACAGCCAGTAATGAGCTGTGCTGACTTCATCACCCTCTGCAGTACTTTGCAATCCTGGGCGGAGCAGTTCTCATACCAGGCAGTGATGCAACCAGTCAGGATGCTCTCAACAGTGCACCTGTAGAAGTTGGCCTGGATATGTGATGGCATGCCAAACCTCTTTAGCCTACGGAGAAAGAATAGGCTCTGCCATGCTGTTTTGACCACGATGTTGGTGTGGTGGGTCCGGGTTAAGTCCTCTGAGATGTTAACTCCCAGGAACTTAAAACTGCTGACCCTCTCCACTGCAGTCCCACTGATGTAGATAGGTGTGTGACCTCCTCGACCTCCTCGTGTTTTCAATAGTCCACAATCATCTCCTTAGTCTTAGTGATGTTCAGAGAGAGGTTGTTCTCCTGGCACCATGCTGCCAGGGTTTCAACCTCCTCCCTGTACGCAGACTCTTCACCAACTGTGATCAGGCCGATGACTGTTGTATCGTCCGCAAACTTAATGATGGAGTTTGAGTTATGCCTGGCGAGACAATCATGAGTAAATAAGGAGTAGAGGACAGGGCTAAGCACACAGGCTTGGGGGGGCTCCAGTGTTTAGTGGTAGAGGATATGTTGGTGCCCACCTGTGGACATTCTGTCAAGAAGTCCAGGATCCAGTTACAGAGGGAGGTGTTCAGGCCCAGGTCCTGGAGCTTGATGACAACCTTTGAGGGCACTATGGTATTGAATGCTGAGCTGTAATCAACAAACGGCATTCTCACATATGTTCCTTTCTTATCCAGGTGTGAGAGGGCAGTATGGAGGGCAGTGGCAATAGCATCCTCTGTTGACCTGTTCTGGCGATAAGCAAATTGCAGTGGGTCTAGGGTGTCGGGCAGTGGGGAGGTGATGTATGCTTTGACCAGCCGCTCGAAGCACTTCATGATAACTGATGTGAGTGCAACAGGGCGGTAGTCATTTAGGCAACTGACTCTGGGTTTCTTAGGAACGGGGACAATGGTGGTTTTCTTAAAGCTGGAAGGAACTATAGACTGAGCTAGGGAGAGATTGAATAAGTCCGAGAAGACATCTGCCAGCTGGTCTGCACATGCCTTCAGAATGCGGCCAGGGATGGCATCAGGGCCAGGAGCCTTGCGTGGACTGGTCTTTTTTAAGACTTTACACACATCTGCTCTGGATGTGATCAGTGGGTTTCCGTCTTGGATTTCTGGAATCTTCATGACTGGATCTGCGTTACTGACCTCAAACCAAGCATAGAATGAATTTAGCTCATCAGTTACTACTCTTAGTGTTGTCCAGTCTCTTACTTTCTGTGGTTCAACTGTACTTGCCTTCTCTGTGTGTTCCTGGATTGGCCCTGTACTCTGCTTTATGATTCCTCTGGGTTTCAGCCCTGGCTTCCTGTTTCTGTGTGTCCCTGTGGTCCTTCACTCGGAGCTTTCCTGGTTTGGACTCCGCCTGTTCCTGGCTATTGTTCATGGGTTACGTGTTTGCTTGTTTTCTTGTTTTCTAAACCTGCGCCTGAATCCTGTCTTCAGCCCTCAGAGTGCCTCAGTGAGTACAGCGGTATTAGAGTATTGGCTGCCTACTGACACAGGGCATAGGGGAAACTACTGAAGCCCCTTCTCCAAGCCCCCCACAGGGGAGGTGGGTTTGGGGAGAAGTAGGTACCACTTGGTGTAGACCTATTTACCGTGATCGATGATCGCTATGCATGGCACCCTTACAAATATTCAATAATATGTTTCTATATGGATTTATAAAAATGTATATAAAATATTTTAATTTGCCTAGGCCTACACCATGTATCTACGGCCTCTGAGATGAGTGTACATTTATGATTGTCCAGTAGAATGTAAATATGTGGAAGCAAAAAGGAATCCTGGCAAAGGTATTTAATATTGTGGAAATAAGGGGTTGTACAGTCCTTACTCCTTGTCAAATCTGGTACAGGAGAGGGCAGTTATTCGGCTGATTATTGCTCTTCTGGTGAATGCTGTACTGTCGCTTTCTTCTGTGGTGGAACCAGTGGCCTGACCGCACTGGGATCTCCGGAGCTGGTGGCGACGTCCTGGGAATTGAAATTGTAGCTTGCGCGGGAAATGAGGGGTGGGGTGGTGCTGTATCTAGAAAGCAATGTACCAGACCCTTTTCTGTCGGCGTGGACTGAGTGTCGGCAAGTGTTTGGTCCAGCTCGGATCCGAGTGACCCGAATTCGAGACCTGACGAAGTTCTTTTCCCAGATCGGCAGGAGCCGGTGGGGTGAAGAGATTCCGAGAACCTGCGGGTGTGTGCTGGAGAGTTAGACACTCCTGCTTTATGTCATGGCCTTATCCCAGCCTTGCTTGAAAACATTCCTCTGTGTGGGGGAGAGATCAAAGATCAAGCTATCAGGGTGTTGACCAATTCTGCTCCATCTTGGGAGTAAATGCTGATGCTAATTTTGTTTTTGTAGGAGAATCTTAAGTTTGTTTTTCCATTATACAAGAAAGTGCCTATAATGCCCTTTTACACCAGTATTGAAATATTCACTCCTTAAGGAAGGGGTGTGAAATTGTTCCACAGGACGTTTCTGTGTAAACAGCCCTGACTTTTTGTATTCAGGAGAAATGCCCTTTCTTTTAGTGCAACCTAAACTCGATTTTTGGATGACTTTCATTTACACGGTTGTTTTTGGCGCTAATAGAAGCACTGTGTGCAGTGCAATCAAGGTTGTTTTTTCCTGATCCCCACAAAGAGCAGAAGAGATGTGTGTAGAAGAAGCACTGCTGTTTTCCCTTTGGCATCTGAAACCCTGACGTGTTTGGGCACTTAAACACCAAGGTAACTCACATACAGGGTCTCCTGATCCTTGAGGACAGTATCTGTGTCCATCCAGCTTTTTTGGGGTTTGAAAAGGTTCAAACCTTTGGAGATTTAAACTGGTGAAATTAAGCCCTAAATCTGAGAATACTGTTTGGTCTGGAATATCTCCAAAAACTGTTGCTTTTCTGTTACACAACAGAATCCCGATGCTTGATAAAGAGGATGCACTTAAACCAGCCTTGAGGAGCCTTGGACGCTCCTTCTGGAGGCTGTTTTCCTGGAGCTACTACTTCTAATTTATTTTCTTGCCTTTTTGTTTGAGTGTAGCCAGAGGATACATATTTAGGGAAAATCTGAAATGTGTGCTCTACCTTACTTAATCACCACAATTTCTGAGAAGAGGGATACATTTATTCACTGCCTCCCGTTTTATTTTCTAATTTTAGCAGTCCTCCTTCATTTGTTTTAAAACAAAAAATGAGCATCTCTCAAAACGATAAAACATTTTCTAGTGTCCATTTAACAGCAGTTTAGCTCAGTGCTGCCCTCTGGTGTTGTGGATTAAATACTGCAGCAATCAAGAGCTTTGAAAATGGAATGACAGTCATGGCAAGAATCCGGGAGGTTTCTGCTGGGTGTGTCCCTGGGCCAGCGTTTCATTTAGTGCGATGCAGGGCAGGGAGAGAAAACACAAGCTCTGTAAGCATTAGTAATAAATTGCTGAGTTAAATGCAAGATGACTTTTGGGCTCACAGAGAAAGAATCAATAAGTCAAGACGAGATACAGTAGCTCTGTGGGTTTGTGTTTTCTGTCTTTTAAAGAGTTTATTTTCTTTATTTCTGCAGGGGAACCGCAGAAGTATGACCCCAGTTTTAAAGGACCCATTCATAACCGGTAAGAGAGAGGAAGTGTGGGCTGGTGGTCAGTGTGGGGAGACTGGGTGGATGGGGTGTTACTTAATCTAAAGGTCCAGTAGCTCAGGGGTTCCCAGTCTTGGTCCTGGGTTCCTCCACACCTGAATCCTTAATAGACTGAATAACAGGTTTCATTTGAATTCTTCTTTTGTTTCCCGTTTCCTAAACCTGTTGGAGTTCCTTAACTACAGCATTGAAGTCACTTAAAATCTCGAACCTTTGAGTAGAAGCAACCATTCAGCTAAGGACTAGGTTACAGTAAAGTGATCCAGCAGGCATAGGGGTCCCCAGGATTAGGATTGGGAACCCCTGTGGTAGCACTAACTAGACTCTCCCCTTGCCCTCCCCCAGGGGCTGCACTGACATCATCTGCTGCATCCTCTTCATCGTCGCCATCATCGGCTACTTTGTCGTGGGCATCGTGGGTAAGTGTGAGATGGGACTGGCGCGGTGGCTCTGCTGTTGGCGCAAGAGGGCACTCGGCTCTATCCTCCAAGGGCACCAGGCGCTTGTCCGGACACGCATTCATTCCCTGTACCTGTGCCAGCTCTGCCAGGCTAGTACAACATGATCTCGAAGTTCCTTCATCTGAAATGACTTGCTTGCTGTAGTTGATAAGATAAAATCACTTTATCGGCTATACACAATTTCTTGCATTAAGAATTTCTTTTCACATACCCCAGCTTGCTCTCCATGAGACACACAGATGGACAGAGAGAAGCCTGGGGTCAGAGCGCAGGGTCAGCCATTTATACTGCGCTCCTGGAGCAGTTGGGGTTAAGGGCTTTGCCCGGAGGCCCAACAGAGTTAGATTCCTCTGCTGGCTGCGAGATACAAACCGGTAACCTTCCAGCCACAGAGCCACCGCATCGCAAACAAACTCATCTTGACAGCTTTGAGTTATTGGAAACCAATATGACTTGATTTTGAACAATGATCATTTTCAATTCATGAACTGCTTGAGACTTCAGAAATGTATCAGGTACATGGAAATCATTAAAAATGTGAAATAACTGACTAGACAAATCCGTTCTGGTATTCAGACATTGACTGGGTGTATAAATGCTCTCCTGGGGTGTCTGAGCTATTTGGTGCCACCCTGCACCTGTGAACAGCTAACAAGGCAGCTTCAATGGGATACAGCTGATTACTCACGTGGAGAGGCAATTCACTGGAGCCCCTGCTTTTCTAATGGTGTCCCACTATGTCTTTGCCCAGCCTGGTCTCAAGGTGACCCAAGAAAGGTGATCTACCCCACTGACAGCAGAGGGCAGTTCTGTGGACAGGCTGGCACCCCACTGGAGTGAGTATCACTGCACGACTCTCTCGGTCTCTGCTTTTCGGGGATATGTTCTTCTTAGTCCAGTTTAGAAAAGATGGTTGTTTCCGTTATTTAGGTCCTTTATTACAGAAGGACCTGAAATGCTGTTAAAGACTAGTTCTTGCAATCATTGTCATGTCATTTGCCAAACTACTTTATACCATACGGTGTCGCAGGAAGCCAGAGCCTACCTGGCAAGCAACAAGTAAAAGGCAGGGTACACCCTGGACGAGATGCTAGTCCATTGCAGGGCAAGTGTAAGCTGATCGTACATGGGGACAATTTGGAGGCCACAGTAAAGGCAGGAGATATTTGGCCCGGACACCGGGATGACTCTCTACTCTTATCGAGAAATGCCCAGGGATCTTTAATGACCACTGATAGTCAGGACCTTGGTTTAACATCTCATCCAAAGGATGGCATCCACTACAGTATAGTGTCCCCGTCATCTATACTGGGGCATTAGGACCCACACAGACCGCAGGGTGGGCACCCCCTGCTGGTCCCATTAACACCGCTTCCAGCAGCAACCATAGATTCCCAGGAGGTCTCCTATCCAGGTACTGACTAGGACTAGGCTCAACCATGCTTATCTTACTGGGTAGCCAGTTGAGAGCTGCAGGCCTGTAATCATTGTAATTACAATTAACTTATTTAATCAATATCCAAAATCCGTATACTTGAATTTTCCAAAACCATGCATGCATGAATAGGGGTAGGTTTCTCTGGATGCCCAGTATAGTTTATTTTGCAAAGATGCTTTTAGTACACAGAGGCAACAGTGTGCTTTACTGACTTGGGAAGCGTCTAAAAACCTGTTGAGAGTTAAGAGAAGTTCTTTTTTTTTTTTCTGAGAACCAAGGAATTTGTACCTCAGGACTCCTGTTTTGGGAGTTATAGATGTAGTGATGTACTTCAGCTAATCCTTCTTAAACTGTTGAACCTCTTTTGTTATTAGTACCCTAGAATGTGAGGAAGAGCATTGAACTTGTGCATTTTTCACAGGTGCCTGGTCCTGAAGAAGCAGGCAGTGTCTCTGCATTTTTTCTTGCTCTCTTTAAAGCACTAGAAACCCAAGAAGCTGCAGCTTATTACTGTTATTTATTGGTATTATTTTACCGGAGAATTTACAGATGCACTGGTCCTCCTGTATTAGGATTGGGGATCCCCGATTAAGGCCTAAGTTTTAATTCTTGGACCTTAATGTCCAAAGGTTTGATACTCTTCATTAAAAGCTAGGCTCTGCAGCCTGGGTGCAAGAACGCCAGCCCTGCAGCTTTAAATGGTCAACAAGCAGAGACCTGGAAAGCTTAACTAAGATGCTTAATCCAATTAAGTTATTGGGTGCTCAGCAAGTTGATGACCAGGAGACACTAGTTTTCCAGAACCAGAACAGTAGATGCCCAGTCCAAAGAATCCAGATCAGGCCGTCCTGATCTTCTTTAAAGGCCAAACAAGATTAAAACTCCACTTATTTCTTTAGAATCCAGTCTTTTAAAGGGATGGAAAGCCAATGGGTGGTCATTAAGGAAACAAGAGTTTCTCTGCTCCCTGTTTATCTAACAAGGCCTTGGCTTTGTGTGTTTCTTTATTTCCAGGAAAAAGGGGAACCTGTTCTACTTCAACATCATGAAGTGTGCCAGCCCTCTGGTCCTGCTGGAGTTCCAGTGTCCCACAACGCAGGTGAGGTCCATCACCCACGTGACCCTTGACCTCTCTTCAGGAGGTCCTGAACGCAAACGCTCAATGGGAGTATCGAAACCGTACGAAAATGTCTATTTATTTTTTGATAACGGAACAGACTTCAGTTTGTAACAATGGAACAGTTAACTACCATATGACTAGAAATGTAGAAGTGTAATTTGCCTTTCTGGGAAACAAAACCCCAAATGTCCAGTGATTGCACTATAGACATATATGAACGAAGCACTTGGCTATTGCACCTGCCAACACTGAGAACTGTCCTGTGCCAGCTTTCAGATTAAGATTTTCGAAGTGGGCAGTGGCCCATGTTCAGGGTGACTCGAGGCGGTGCTCAGTGGCTGATGTGTGACTTCCCTTTTGGCAGATCTGTGTTGATGAGTGTCCGGATCGCTTCATGACACTACTGAAGGCCTACGCAAACCCAGCAGACCTGAAATACTATCAGACATTCTGCAAGGAAAACATTTTTTTTTCTAAACTGGTGAGTTGCACCTGCAAAAGAAGGAGGCCTTTGAGTGGAAGGTGGGCAGGCCCTGGGGGGGGACTCAGCCATTCAAGTGTTGTGCACCAGTGATGTTCTGTGGTGTGCAAGGCACCTACTTTGGTTTTATTTCTCCTTTAAAACAACCTGGATTGCCAGCCCATGGCTGCAGCTCATGAGAGAATGTGGGCACACCCTCCTTTTGGAGCCATTCCTTTCTCTGGGTCGAAATTCAGGATTCCTCATTTTCTGTTGGACCCACCCAGTTTGGAATAATTGAACGGACACGTGAAAAATTGGCTACTATGAGTCCTTTGACCACCCCCAGGGGAGACTCCCCGAGAGAGAGAGAGCCCATGTTGTCGAATGCCGCCCTATGGTAGTGAGGGGTCCCAGCTGCTGTGCACTAGTCAAATGACCCTGGCTCAAACCTGTGATCATTGAGCTCCACCTGTACCTTTACCAGTGGAACCAGTCTGGAGGCCCTAGTTCACTTTCTCTGGGCCACTCCAGAGCCTCTCAGCTCACCCTGTATATAAAAGGTCAGTTAAGCCAGTAATCTGCTCAGTTAAGAGACCTCTGGCTCCTGAGGGCTGAAGGGGAGTTGGATCTCGGTCCCAGGTCTCCATATCAAGCAGGTGATGAAACGGATCGCCTGCTTGTTTGATCAGGGTGAAGTATCTCCAGATCCCCAGAGCTCAGCCCTTGCTCCTAGCATCATCCCATGTGCAGATGTTTGTGACAGCCATGTATTTTTGTCTTACAGACAGCTGTGGAGGTTCTGAGGGACGGTCTGTGTCCAGCCATGCTGACCCCCAGCAAGCCATGTAAGTATCAGCTTGACCCCTGCTGAACAGGCGCTTGTTTTCCGAAATTCGTGCCAACACTCTGGGGAGGAAACCCTTTGGGGGTGTTCTTTTACTGTTCTTTTCAAAGCGAACCTCTACTATGAATGTGTTTCTGTTTAGACTCTACTACATTTCTGAAGACCTGAATACCAATGGTAAAATTTTGCAATACAGTGGCTTTCAAAAGTATTCACGCTCTTGGACTTGACCACATTTTATTGGGTTACAATATGAAATCGCCCATCCATCCATCCATCCATTTTCTAACTGCTTCTTCCACTTCAGGGCTGCATGTGATTGCAGAGCTTATCCTGGCAAAAAAGGGGCGCAAGGCGGGGTACACCCTGGACACACAGACGCACACGCATACTCGCACTGTTTGCCAATTTTCCCAGAAGCCAGTTGACCTACTTTACCAATATATCTTTGGTCTGAGAGGATCGGGTGGAAACCCATTTGAACCCGGGGCCATATAATAACATACAAACTCCACGCAGACAGCACCACAGGTCCAGAATTGAACCCTGAGCCCCAGCGCAGCAAGGCAGCAGTGCTAACCACTCTGCAACTGCACTGCCCAATGTGGAATTATAATTTGTTTGTTTTTTTTTTTACCATGGATTGACATGAAACGCTTTAATACTGCTTAAGTGAAAACAAAATTCTACAGATCCTCCTCAGTTAATTATAACTAGAAAATAAACACTATACACACTGGAAGGCTTAGTGATTGTCCAGGGTATTATTACCACAGTCATGAACTGGAGTTTGGAAATGGATCAACTCGGCTTTTGCATACCTAATCCCCTTCAGATCCAACTGAAGTGATTGATAAATCCATCTGCTATATGTTTCTGGGACCATAGGCCATTTTTAAAGGCACAAAAAGCTACTTGTGCATAGGACACAAGGGCTTGGTTAGGTCACGGCAGCCTGGACCTCTGGCCCCGTGACTGAAAGGTTGCAGGTTCAAATTGTGAATGGCACGCTGCTGTTGTACCTTTGAGCAAGGTACGTTAGTTCATTAAAGTGCTGGACAGTATGATTGCAATAACCACCAGGAGCTGGGCTCCCTTGGGGCAGGACTGAGATGCTGTTCTGAGCTGCTTGCTGGAGCTGGGGCCCATCTGATTGAGAATTTAAGGTTTCCAATGCTGTGGGTCTTAAGTGAAGCCACTGACGGTTCCAAGTTCTCATGTACCATTTTGCGAATGCGACCCATCGGTTTTCTTGGATAAGTCTTTTTCTTTGTTAAACCAGCCCTACATCTGGGTGATGAGATAATTGGACCACGTTATGCCTTAACTGGTACAGTTTATCCCCCACACAATCTCAGATGTTGAAATTTTAAGGAGTCCGGTTCTCTAGGACCCTGAGGCCAGGAGACGGGGAACCTCCGTGTCTAAATCCCTCCCCCTTCTCTCCCCTCTGGCTGTCAGTCAGTCGCAGGTGCTTCCCCGCTCTCCAGACAAGTAAGGGGGTGATCACGGTGGGGAACGACACCACGTTCAACGACGGGCGAGGGAAGGTGCGCAACGTCACCGAGCTGCTGGAAGGCGCCAAGTGAGTCTGGCCAGCCGCGGCGCTCCTCGTGTTTCACTGAAGCCCGGCACACTCCCTCCAGCCTGCCGCCAGCTCCCCAGAGGACTGGCACCCTCCCACTCTTCAGCACTTTCTCATCCCTGCAGGCTCCCACTGAACAGCAGTTTGATCCGTTGCTGATTTAACCAAGTGTCAGGATCCTTCACTTCCACAAGTCTGTTCCTACAGCTTCCCCCAGCCTGGACTATCTCACCTGTGTGGTGATAGATTGTCACCAAACTGCACAATTCCCTAGTGCTGACTGCTGGAAAGCAGCCATCTTCACCGCCTCATAGTGCAAATAAATGCACTATATAGACTTATGTAGTGTCTCATTGTTTTTAGGGCATCCAAATTCTAAATGTATAAGTTTAACAGTGACAGGTTATCTGGCTTCCATTAATAACCATGCAATTAGTTGTTCTAGTCGGGGCCACTTACTGTAAGGTTACCATATTGGTGCAGAAACGCTCTCAATAATGCATGCTATGCATTGTATGATACTCATCCCAATTTTCCAGGGATTTTGCTGTTGCTGTCTGGTGCAGTAGAAAACCATCCCAGTACTGGTAGTGTTGTCTCAATTTACTGGCCCTGAAGCTTGTATGTCAAAACCTGGGCCCATTTTCTTGATAGGAGGAACTTCTGGCTTCTGTACAAGGAGGTATAAACTCTCGAATGAGCTGAGCTGTTCATGTTGGCTCACAGCAGTCAAAAGCAAATAAACTTTAAACAATAAAGAATAACTCTATGTAGGTTTGTAAACACATGAGGATTAATCTTAAAAAAAAAAAAAAAATGAGCATGTGGGCACAATCCTGTTCTGCCCTGGATCTAATTTGCCGGAGTTCAGTAGCTTGCGGAGTGAACTGGACTCCCACCTGAGCTCTTCTGAAATGACTAAGGGTCGTGTTGCTTCTACAGGAAAGCCAACATGGTGCTGGAGGCGCGACAGGTGGCCATGAAGATCTTTGAGGACTACACACAGTCCTGGTACTGGATTCTGCTGTGAGTGTCCCCTCTCTACCTCCTTTTCCTTCCAACCCCTCCAGCTGGGGAAAAAAAAAATCAGAATGACTTCTTTCCAGGCCAGGATTCTAATCCTCTCTGTTTCTGTGCAGTGGCCTGGTCATCGCCATGATCGTCAGCCTCATCTTCATCGTGCTTTTACGGTACCTCGCAGGCATCATGGTCTGGATCATGATCATCTTAGTCATCCTCGTCATTGGCTACGGTACGCCGTCTGACCTCTAGCTCTTATTAGGCTATAATAATATAGCCTATTATTGTGACTGTAATATAATACTATCTTCAGCTGTTAATGCACTTTTATGCTGAAAGGATCCGTGAGCACTTTACCCAGCAGGAGATCAGGAGTCACTGCACTGCAGTAGGACTCCAGTGGATGAGATAAGGAGGTCAGATTTGCAATGTCCAAACTGGAATTTTAGCTGACTATTCTCTCTTGACCATGGTTACAATTTGTCTGATTGCACTGTGTTAGTTGGGCAGTTGCTCAAACATGAATGACTACAGCAAGTCCTCTCATATTGGAGAATGGATATGGGGACTTTTAGATTTTGTATTTCCAGGACACTCCTCATTGAAAAATGAATTCCTGTTATTTGTAGCTCTTTGCTCTTTTGATGCGAGATCTCCGTTCTTGGATTTTCCAGGAATCTTCCACTGTTACATGGAGTACGCTTCTCTGAAAGGCGTCCCTGGGTCGGACGTCTCCATCAAGGACCTGGGCCTGCAGACTGACTTCGCCGTGTACCTGCAGCTGAGACAGACCTGGCTGGCTTTTAGTGAGTCCACCTGCCTCAATTCCAGGACCCCTCTCTAACCCTTCTCCCTTTTCAAGAGCTCGATCCCCTTCCCCCACCTTTCTCTGCTCCCATGATCCTCTTCTTCCGCTCTAAGAACTGCTCCTAAGTCTGCAAGACGGCCTGGGAAAGAGTGTTAAGACCTTATGCTAAATGAGAATACCTGCGGACCCTTCGTCTTAAAGAACTGTAGTTGTTTAAAACATTCTGTAAGACACTTGAGGTCTTTGTTTAGATTGCACAGTGAGGTTAAAGAACAAAAATCTGGTGCTGGACTTTGAAACGGGTGCGAATTGGTTTTCTCTCTCTAGTCGGTCTAGTGTCCTGATACCACCCCGTTCCTTTGCGTTGTATTGCAGTGATCATCCTGTGCATACTGGAGGTGATCATCATTCTGTTGCTCATCTTCCTCCGCAAGCGCATCCTCATCGCCATCGCTCTCATCAAGGAAGCCAGCAGGTAAGCGATTCGCTCGTCGTGCACGAAGCTCTTCCGTTGCCCCGCACTCCAGCACAATGATAGCGACTCGCACCTCTTTTCTTTGCAGGGCGATCGGTCATGTGATGTCATCGCTGTTTTACCCGCTGTTGACCTTTGCCCTCCTGGCCCTGGTCATTGCATACTGGGCCATCACAGCTGTGTATCCTTTTGAGAGGGGTGACCTCTGACCCCTTTTGTCTCTCTGTCTGCAAGATCAATGGCTTGTGGTTCAATGTCTGTCTGGCTAATTATTTGAGGCACACACGCCTTGCGGCCTGTGTTTTGTTTCCTTAGCTGCAATTGCTAGCTTCCTCTCGACCTCCAATGAGCCTGTTTACAAAGTGTTTGCCAATGAGACTACATGCAACTACAGCAGGAGCACCTGTGATCCCGAGGTGAGCAAGCCGACTTCCAAAAACATCCCACGGGGACGGGGGAGGGAAACGAGAGCATTTCTGCTGGAGATGAGATATTTGAAGTCGGGGGTTCCAGAATACGCCACACCCTTTCTCTGAAGGCTGTTGACCCCGTTTTGAAATTGGCAAAGCAAGCTTTTAAATTTAAAAATGTCATAAGCCTTCCATCCCAGATGACCTCATACCAAACTAGCCCACAATCCTAATGTGGGATTGAAGACCAGATATGGTTCTGGACTGGCAGAGCATGGATTGCAATAGCTGGGTTTTTGGTAGCTGTGTCAGTAACAGACTGCCCGTGCTTCTCCCACAGACGTTCAACACCACCGACATCCGAAAGCAGTGCCCCGACGCCGAGTGCCTGTTCGCCTTCTACGGCGGGGAGTCGTACTACCACAAGTACCTCATCGCACTGCAGTTCTACAACGTCTTCCTGTTCTTCTGGTGCGCCAACTTTGTCACGGCGCTGGGCCAGATAACTCTGGCGGGAGCATTTGCCTCCTACTACTGGGCGTTCAAGAAGCCCGACGACATGCCCACTTTCCCCGTCTTCTCCTCCCTGGGCCGGGCGCTCAGGTAAGAGTCGCTTGTGCCTCAGCACGACCAAATGCAGGGCATCTCCCCACCGTTTTAAAGATGTGCGCGACGGGGAAGTCTGTACCTTCACATTGCTGGGAACAAGTTCCCATTTGCTATATTTGTGCAAATCAAGTAAATGTTAACTGAAATTGAGTCTTTTCAAGTAAAACATCCTTAAATTTAGAAAAACCTCAGCTACCAAACAAGGCAAGACCAATCAATTTCCAATGTTCCTAAAAATTGAGTGGGTCGCTCAACGTATAGTACAAACATGGTTAAATCAAATTTCTGTCACGGTGTATGATCTAGTTTCTCACGAGGCTTTCTGAATGTGCCATTGTGGAATGAGTGAGAGAATACAAGTTCAAATAACACAGCTTGTGTTATTTGGGGATATCTAGGGAGCAGGTGTATCGCAAGTTGGTGATGCTTGTTCTGCTGTATCTTTGTCTCTCTGCCCAGGTACCACACTGGCTCCCTGGCTTTTGGATCTTTAATCTTGGCCATTGTCCAGGTCATCCGGGTTCTGTTGGAATACCTGGACCATAAACTCAAAGGTGAGTCGGGAGAGGTGGAATTAGCCCAAGGATATTCCCATCCATTCCATGGCTAGATTCCTGCCATGTTAGAGGACTCAATTAAAGCAATTAATTTGAGTTAAATAGTGCAAAATGTAGCTGTGGGGCATCATGGCTCTGGACTGGAAGGACTGGTTTTCTGCAGGACAAGTACCATTCTTGATGTTGCAATTAAAATTTGGGAAATCTGTTGTGTTCAAGTATTCCAAAGAAAAATTGGTGCCTATGGTCGAGGGTAATTCCATCAGAGTGACTGAATGGACACGGGTGGTTTTTCGAAAATACCAGTGATTTTGCTTTTTCTTGGAAATGTATTGGCCCCTGATGTTTTCTGGGTATATCACACACCTTTACAGGTGCCCAAAACAAATTTGCCAAATTCCTGCTGTGCTGCCTGAAGTGCTGTTTCTGGTGCCTGGAGAAGTTCATCAAGTTCTTGAACAGAAACGCCTACATCATGGTGAGTGTATATTGAAGTGACCCTGGGGCCACCATAACCCCTGCTTTGAGCAATGGAAGCTGAAAGAAATCAACATGATCTAAACTGAAACCTTAAATACTTGTACTTGTCAACATTACAGTATTGTAGAATGTACAGGAGATTTAAATTCTATCAGTCATTTACTTGATAGAGACTAATCTCCATGTTTCTGGAATATTGCATCAGATGTATACAGAGTAATTTTCAAAGATTCTGTGTTGATAATTCTTCTTTTCTGTGCAGGTTAGAGCACAGTATAAACTAGGGATTTGAACAAACTTGAGTAACAGCATGAAGCTTACAATCTGCCAATTGAATTGCTTTGTAATTTTAAATAAAAGCATTAAAACCTTTGATAAACCAGTTTTGGATCATTTATGCTCAATTTACACATTTTAATGTCTTTCAGGCATCTTTTAAAAAGTCTATATTGAATGTCCAGGTTTACAGTAAAACTGACAGTTTATAAACAGCCTGTGGCCAGACTCTAGTGAAACGAGAGTTTTTTGCATTGCGGTTTACAATAACATCTGCCGTTTTGTTTTGTTTTTTTGTCTAGATCGCAATTTATGGAAAAAACTTCTGCACCTCAGCCAGGGATGCTTTCTTCCTCCTGATGAGGAACATAGTGAGGTGAGATGGGAAGGGGGAGGTGTACCTACGCAGATGTCCCCATGTGGCCTGGCCAGGGTAGCTTGGGCTGAACTCTCCGTGTCAATCTGTTTCTCGCTGGTTTCAGGGTGGCCGTCCTGGACAAGGTGACGGACTTCCTACTGTTCCTGGGGAAGCTGTTGATTGTCGGGCTTGTTGGTAAATTGAATGCGAGATACCCCCCCCCAACATCGCTGTTCCTTCGGGAATGTGTGTTAATTTATAACCCATGATCCAGTCCTGACCTCTTTCTTGCAGGAATCCTGTCTTTCTTCTTTTTTTCGGGGAGAATCAAAGCCATTGAGAACACCACTCCAAACCTCAATTATTACTGGGTCCCCATCCTGGTGAGTGTCCGGGAAGCGCCTGTCATTGTGGCAATTTATCTGAGAATGAGTTTCATGTGAGGGGAAGCCAATTCGTCCTACCTGGTAGTTTGGCAGCTCCTGGTCTTCTTGCCTGTGTTTGGAAGTGGTTCTGACCTTGAGCCCTTATTTTGGTTAGAATACAGCGTAGTAGAGAAACTTAAAATTTGCTAAAACGCAAAACGCTTTTATGAATCTGAAATTTAGTAGCTTCTTCAGTAAGCGTTATTTATCTGATTGTTTTATTCAAGCTATATTGTAAAGTATTGTTTATTCAGTACTATATTGTAATGGTTCAGGTGGGTAGCTGCGTCAGCATGCGTAGGCTGCAAAGGAACAAGTAATAGGTTTATTCCATGCTGAAAAAAAGAAGAAAGAGAATGCAACGTTTTGGCCGTGGAGCCTTCTTCAGGTGTGTGACTATATTGTAATAGTTGTACATTAACAACTTGACCTTTTCTGAATTTTATTGGCGTCTTGAGAAACATGAGAGGCAGTGGCTGAGTTGGGTCTCTCTTTGTCTCTGGTCTCCTTAGACGGTGATAGTCGGCTCGTATCTCATTGCTCACGGCTTCTTCAGCGTCTATGCCATGTGTGTGGATACGCTGTTCCTCTGCTTCTGTAAGTACGCCTTCTCCATTGTGAACAGATTTGCATCCTCCTTTCTGGACCGATTGGTCTCGTAATGACACAGGGCCCAAAGACATAGCCCACACAGGTTTCCTTGCAACAAATTATTCCGGGAAATAAGCAAGGAGGCTCGAGTGCAAAGCAACGTCGCTCATTCATCACTCTGAAATCTCGAGAGGGCAGTTGAGCTGGCATGGGGGAGATGCTCCGTAAAGGGACCTTTTTTGACAGCGATCCCAGAGGAGAACCGTTCCCGTGTTTGTCAACTCCTGACGGTGCAAGCCTGCACAGACTATCCCCTTTATTGGAGTAGGCTTATCCTTCATAAAATTGACTGTACGAGTACAGGGTCCTTGCGTGTTAAGATCGTGGGTCGATGGTCGGCTCGAATAGAAAAAGCGAATGCTGGGTGGCTATAATAACGGAACTGTCCAGCTGAATCTCGTTGCTCAGCACTGTGACTGTTTAAGGGCTGGCCGTACTTCACTGGGTTTTCTGTCTAGCTTTTTAAATATCGAATCCATAAACTGCTGATTGTACACAGTGAAACAAACATTGAGGTTAATCTCGCCAGTCTCCATGTAGGAAACAAGGGGGGTGCAGCAATTCTGATTTTAGCGCAGAACATTCATGCGGTCTTCAGCGTCGGAATGGCAAGTCTCAGGGAGTGCATGGTGCCTGTTTCACTAATTCAAGCTTGTGGTCTTGGGACAGTGGCGCAAATATGATCAGGGGGGTTAACTTTTTATCTCCTGCACTGTTCTACTTCTGACACTGCTGATAGCACTGCAAGTTGTGCCTTCCTTCTATCTTGATTTTAACCAATCTGCATGTTTTACAAGTGTACTAACAGTGTGGAATCCCCAATTACATGCCTTCCTTGTAAAATGCAGATTGGCTCAAACTCTGGCAAAAATGATGGGACTTATCCTGGCTTTGCTTCTGACTCTTTTTTTCTATCTTTTTTTCCCACTCATTTCTTCCCTTCCACCCCTGCCTTGTATTAACAAATGCCTGAACACCTCCCCCTCCTCGCAAGGTGAGGATTTGGAACGTAACGACGGTTCTGAGGAGAGGCCATACTACATGTCTTCCGAGCTCCATCTGATCCTCTCCAAGAGTGAGCCTAGAGAGGAGGAAGAACCGCAAGCTGAAAAACCTGATGAGGCCCAGGAGTAGCCAAAGGGAACTGTGGGGAGGGGATGTTATATCTCCCCCTTGTGCTCTGGAGGCACTATTGCAAGAAGCTACCCCACCTCTTAAAGAGAACGCCCTTTATTGCAGTGTTGGGTTTTTCGTTCAGCCTGAAGCAAATGCTTCTCTTGGATTGTACCAAAGTGTGTCTGTGGGGAAGCTTGGTTGTACTGCGTCTTAAGGATTTAACCCACACATTCCAACCCTTTTCTGTGGGCGACTGGTGTCCATCTTGATTTAATTGCTAAGATGGATGGTGGATTTGGGATAGCAGGTTAAGTGTTGGTTGCATGAATGTAGAAATAGAATACCCCCCCCCCTCCTTTTCATAGCTGAGATGGTATGGGTACCTTCCTTTCAACAGTAAATTAAGATGTCCTGAAGTTTTCCTAACTCCTCTTACCCTTCTCACTCCCTCAGACTAAAGTGTTCAGAAAAGGGCTTTGCCTTCTGAATACTTCCTGTGTGATAGAACAGTACCTTGTTCCATCACTGTGTAGGAAAAACCTTTGATTGTGATCATATAGCAAAAGTTACAGGTATCTGTGCTCAAGTGCTAGTAGCTAACCTGTCGCTGAATTTCATCCAGCCTTGTCTTGCAGAATCTCAGCCTGTTGGGTAGGTTGTGGTTGACAGATGTACAATAGATGGTATGCTCAAGGCTTGTGCCCTTTGGAAATGAGGAAACCTCATTGGGATTACTGGAATCTGCAAATTCTAAAATTCAGGACCCACCTCTTGCACATCATGCTTGAGTGTAAAGTCACAGGGGAAACAGCCCAGTAATGGACAAGTATACTAGCTCTTTTGCTAAGCATCCAAAGATCTCTGGTTTTCTTTTGAACATGGAACCAAGAAGCCTTGTGTAAATATGACCCAGGATAGCTCATGTGCCTAATCTTTAGTGTCGTATTTCCTCTTCAGTGTGGGTGTTGATATATGCAAAGCTACAGCTGCCACTTCTACTTAGGTATATGTTTTTTTTTCTGGGTCACAGTCCTGATCCCATTCTGAGCCTCTAGACCAGAACTTGGTAGCTTGTCTGCACTCCGACATGCTTGTACGTCTGATTTTCTACGCATCAGCTTCTAATACTTGTGATCCCAGGGTCTTTTAAAAGACCTTATTCATCACGGTACTTTACAACCAGTTACAACGTCTCTACGTTGCCACAGGGCACAGGAATATTTCAAGATCATTTGCTCAAAAGGAAAATAGTTTCCTAACAATTTGCTCTATTTGTAAAGATCTGCACGATCGTACAATTCTCTAACAGTAGCACCAAATTCTTTCAATGTGTCTTCCACAAAGCTGGCTTCCTCATGCGGCCGATAAAAGATCCAACATTTGTCATTACAGGAAACAATAACTGTCCCATCTGCCAACTGCAAAGGGAATTGTATGATTTGTCCGTGGCCTCATTTGAACGGCTTCTGGTTTTCTCCATCTGCAAAGTATAAAATCTCATGAGCACTTAAAAATCCTAAACAATCACTTTGCTTTGTACCAGACTCCAAACTGAATTCCATTAGTGTTGTTTTCCTCCCTGCTTGTAACAGGGAATGAAACATTCATTTTTTGGTACCCGAAATTCTTTTAACATAGATTTGCAGAACAGGGATTAACAATTTTTGCAAACCCAAAGAACTTAGATCGATTAAGTTTTTCAAGTCATGCTATTGATCCTTAAACTACTCCCACGATGCAAGAGGTGCATTGGAGATGGGTGGACCTGGATGAACCAATCAAATGTTTGAGGGTGTGTCCGTAAGTGCTCTCCAATCCCTTTCTATTCTCACATTCATTGTACAGTATGTTAGAGATGGAGGACTCGGGGTCAATTTAGTCAATAAACATAATGTATTTCAAAGACTGTCACTTTATCTGTTGAAAAGATTATTTTCAGGAAAGTTAGTTTTTTCTACAGGTCTATTTTAGATGTGCTTGGTCCCCTGAAAAATGAGATTTTTGAAATGCAATCCTGGAAAAATATCCTAATATTTGTCCAGATAATCATCCAATTTCATATTAAGAAAAAGCCATAAAATGCTACAACCTGTGAGGAACTGGGTTTTGATTGGGTTTCAACAATATGGAATGGATCTTGTTTTTAAAAAAATATACAATTAAGCACCTTGTTTGCCTTGGAACACTGATTGACACTGTAAATGCAATCTAATGCAGCCTTTTTGGCCCTCTAACCTCTGACTGTGCCATTACTAATCCTTGTCTGCATGCTGTAATCTTTATTAAAACCCAGCATCTTTCTACTCTGTGTTTCCTGCTTGTTTCTCTGGGAATAGGGGGGTTTCTACAAAAATTGAATTGATGATTCAGAACAGACTTTAGGGTTTAACTTGGAAGGTGTGAAGGCCGCTTAAACTGAAATTATTAATATTCAAGTGGACTTCTTGTGCTGGTATTTCAGGGGGTTTTCGCCCCATACTCAAGCAGGGGGCAGGTTTTGAGCTGGTTTGGATCGATGTTCAAGTGCTGATCAATCCAATCTCCCTGTTGGGCTGGGAGTAGGAAGAGAATGAGTCTCCCTGTGAAGCTTGGCTGCACCGTAATTCAAAGTAAAATTGAAGACATCAAGGTGAATCTGAAGATGAGAGAAGTGCAAAAAATTACTCTAATCCCCAATGCCGCAGTCCCCCACCCCCCCCTTTAAAAGTAGGACTAGTGTCTCCACTTGAAGATGCAGCACTCACCCTCTTCCCTTATGCCTCCCTCTGTCTGTCTCCGGCGCGCTCTCTTTCCACAGTGGAGGACCTGGAACGCAACGACGGCTCCCAGGAAAGACCCTACTACATGCCTGAGGCTCTGCTCAAGATCCTCAAAAAGAAGAACGAGGAAAAAACCGTGGGATAGCTCCGGGCTCTGCTTTCTGCCATCCCACGCAGAGTGAACAAGCCTGCCCTCCGCGGATGCCCGTCTCTAGTTTTTATGCCATTGGACACAATCGGTTTGTCCTGTCCCTGCCTGGTGTGTGGTTTCCTCTGCTGCCAGATCTTTTGGAAACCGCAGTGTTGGACTTCAGAGACTCCACGAAATGTTTGTCTGACTTGTATTTTCTTTGCATTATCTTTCCTATCGGAGATCCGGGGAAAGTCCACAATACTTCCTGCATCTTGGATTCATATCCAATCTTGAGACCTTTCCAAATGGTTTTCATTCATGTACAAAATCTTCAACTACAGTGCTGTATGTTCAGATAGCAGTGTTTAAAGCATCTCAGTTTTTTACTTCAGTTTGGGTCTGTGCGATTTTGGTTTTGTCGGTAGAAGCTGGGTATAGTGGAAGGTCTTGTGACCTTTTTTTATGTGTTCTGGTTCCACTAGGGGAATTCTGTAGACTGCTTCCTTAATCAGGAATTGTAACCCTGGGAACCACAAGAAAGGTCCAGTTTTTAGCCTAGCCTTAAATATATGGCTCAATTACTGCATTTAAAATCACTTTATTTTTATTGATTCATTGACCAATTACCTGAAACCCTGTCTAGTGGCCCTCAGGCTATTATTAGAATAGAGAAGCATAGAACTATACACCTGTGGGACCCATTAAAGGGTGTTTACCTGAATTCAATTTCTTGTTGGGGGCGTGCCTCAGTCCAAAGAGCTGATTCAGTGACAAAATTGTGGTCCTGTTTTTTTTAAAGCACTGCACCGCACACTGGTTTAGCGGTACAGGAACCTGGTTGCCTTGGGGGGGAAGGGAAGAGTTATCCATCTGCCACATTGGGGAATTATGGGAAGAGTATGGGATTTGGCACCTACACAAATCTGCTGATCAGAGGGTGGATGGCTTTTTTTTCCTTTTGTTTTGAGTGAACATCCGTGATTTACCCTTGCCGATGAAAATCAGGATTGTTTTCTCTCGGCTCTTGTTCTATAAGTCAATGTCTCCCATGTCCCCCTGTTCTATAGCATTTTAGCTTTCCCACTCGGATTTTGAAAGATGGGGTGTAGTCACCCCGTTTTCTCTCACTCTTCTAAACTGTCACACCAAGGTTTGGTTTGTGCCGAAACTGATCAAGGTATGGATGTGGGACATTACCTGGAAGGAAGAAAACAAACTTTTTAAACTTCTGTTCAGATCTATGTTTTGGCAGAAATGATTAAACATTAACCATGTATTTTAACTTTATTTCATTTATACTATAGAGTTTTGTTAGCTCCACTGTTTTCTTAATTCTGTACACAAACGTTCTGAGATGTTATGCTGGTATTTATTCGCAACTAATGTCAAGGTAAGCTAAGGGAAACCTGAGGCCAGCCTAAGTGATAATGAAGATGATCGTCCCCTTGTTTGACCTGAAAAAAACAAGGATTCTGTAGAAAAAGCCTGTTTAAAGGTAAACATATTAACATGTCCGTTCTAAAAGGTCACAATATGAGCCTGTGTGCCTCAGTAGCTTGGTGGTGTGTAGGGATTCGGAGAGCTTACCCTCCAGAGTTTTTCACTGGCACTCATGTCTGTACAGTCTATTAGGGAGAAGAACAAGTGCTTTTGGATTTCTATTCTTGGAGGTGGACTTGTGGACCACCGAGCAAGGAGAAGAGGGGGGGGGGGAGTGGGAAGAGAAATGCTGTCTGATGTTAAACTGCCTTTGCAGATTTTTGTTGTTACTTTATTTTTTAACCCATTATGCGAGATGAAGAATATGAATGTAGACTACGCAATCTGCGGTTTTAGGGGTTCACGGTGTTGCTGTACGAATGCACAGACACCCAAGTGGTAGTCCGTATGTTGGGTATGGCATTGTACAATCCATTTGTTTTGAGATGCATTAAAGTTGCCATGTGTTTAATCCAATTTTGGAAGTATGCTTGGACTGCATATTAATTTCAGGCTCCTCTTTTAGTCATGCCACTTGCCTGGAGACTGAATGAGATTTTGAAGTTGCTCTGAGGTTTGACTTAAACCAAGGAGTAAGCAGAATAATAAATGTCTGTTGACATTTATAGGTCATTGGGATACAACACCTTTATTAAGTTTACTTTTGGAATCTTGCATTGTTTTCTTTAAAAGTGGCAATGTATTTGATGAGTATCGATGTATAGATCCGATTGCCACGGAACCTCCTGATCCAGTACTGACTGGGAACAGGTGGTTCTCGGTCTGATCAGTGGCAGATCTGAACTACTGGTCATGGTAGGTATCCACTGAAAGATATGTATAACATACAATGACTGCTGAAACTCTAAAAACGTCTGGGAAAAATGATAGTGATGCTTATAGATAGCTTAGCCGACGTGCTTCAAGGCAATTAACAAAACTTAAGTTTGGTGAATATCAGTCTGGGAGCAACTCTGAGAAAGAATGAAATTTCAAGGTGCTTGAGAGTATGGGCTACCCAGACTCGTACAGACGTTGCGGTGGCTTCTGTAAACTTGGGGCTGTGTGTGATTAACTAAAGGCATTTTTCATTTGTGCATTTCTCGGTCCAGTCGAAGCGTTGCTCACTTGCCCCCTCTCCAGGCAGAGCGGTGTCGGCAGCGAGAAGGGACTGGCGGCAGAGGGTTGCCAGAAAGGTGTGGTCCTCTCGGGGTCTGTGAGACTTCGAGAAGCGTTATCGGTACAAAAGCTGATGGTTTGTGTGAGAGTACAACGCCATGTGGTATCTCTAACCACACCAACAGGGCTGATTTGGTTTTTTATAGTAGCAACTGATGGCTTCTTCATCTCTGGCTTAGGCAGGAATTTTGACCCTGCTATCATTGTAGTCTTAATTACCATCTAAGCATAACATTAATAGGAGCTAAAGCTACCAGAGTTAACCCTTTAATTGGCAAGTACCAAAAAACTTAACTGAAAATGTTTTACTTGTTCTTTTCTAGTGGATTTTGTCTCAAATAACACAATTTCATAAGTTTTTTTTTTCAAAACTGTGTGTTTATTTTCCATTTTACAAACTGTATCCCACAGGATACAGTGCCCATTTGGGGTATACATCTGAACTGTTTTTGGCAACTGCTCCCATAGTCAAAAGAACCATAAAACCATTAAAACTCACTAATTTTTATGTTTCATTAAAAAAGGAATGCCAAACATACAATACACCCTTATCCCTACTTGCTTTGGTGTTTAAAAAATTACAACTGGTGTTAAAACGTAAAACTTACAAGTTACTCTAATGTTAAAAAAGTAAAGTCTTACAAAAACCCCAATTCATTTGGGCCCAAAATTGCAACAGTTCATTGTTTTACTGGTACTATGAACCTGTCCTTATGTTCAAAAGTATTTCATCAATTTCATCGAAGATGAAAGCAGTTGCATGCATTTTGTCCAGTGACAATGCAAAGCCTCACATTACACTTCTCACACATGATGGTCCATTAGGGCACATCCTGCATCTCCCTTTCACAGACAGAATTGGGTAGTGGCTGTTTCCATCATAGCGCATTTCATCTATAGGCTGTGGGACCTTTGGCTGCTTGACAACCCTCACGGCTGCATCATTCTCATTTCCTAGGGAAAGCCGGGCTCTTTTTTGTTTTTCTGGATAGATGAGACCTTTGGCAACATCTAGCCTGAAGGCCTTCAGTTTCTTCAGCTTTACTGGACCAATTGCTGTTGCGTCATGCTGATAAAGCAACCATGCATTACCGACAGCAATGCCTATCAGTTGCCAGAATATGCAAAGGTACCACCGATGGGACTTGGCTGGAGTGCGATATAATGCAATCATCATGTCAGTCAAGTCCACACCTCCCATGTGATGGTTGTATTCTGCCACGATCTGTGGACATGGGACAGATATCTGTCTTCCCTTCTTTGAGAAGCGCTTCATTTAACCTACAGGCATCACAGAAGCACATGTGCTCACCAAGGTGACTGTTTTGCTGTCAGCCCATTTGACTATTGCAAGCTGTGCATCGTTGTCAACTCGGTAGTCAAAACTACCTCTTCCTCTTTTCAGTAGTTCTTGATCATCTTCCAGTTTTCAGCCCATCAAGTGATTTTCTAATGGTTCCCAAACTTCTGAGGCCCATAGAATCCTTCAAATAGGTTAGCAAGCTGAGAGATGTGAAGAAGTTGTCAAATAGACCACACAGTCAGGGGCGTTCCTGATGGTTTTGCAAAGATGCAAAACTACATTGACCCCTAAACCAAACTCTTTGAGTGGAATTTGTGTAGCACAAGCAAATGTAGACTTCCCTGTGTAGATGAAGAAGTCATGCACAAAACCAGATACCCCAGCGCGCACATTTCTTGGGTTTGGCAGGTAGGTACTGGCGCAGACTTCCAGCTTTTCGACCTTTGTAAGGCACCATCATTTCATCAATCGAGAACTGATTTTCACTTTTAATTTGAGAGCATTTCTTTCTCATATGGTCTAGCACAGGCCTGATTTTCACCAGCCGGTCTTCTTGGGACTCAGGGACCAGGTTATTTTGAAAGTGTAGTATTCTGGACAAACATTTGAAGCACTTAATTGGCATGACATCTGCTATTTTGTCATATTTTGTATCACTGGCCCATTAATCTTCCATTGCAGCCATTTTCGCTACACCCATGAACAATTTGATACCTATGAATGCTTTGATTTCACTGATGTTGGTGTTTATGCTTCCACCAATCAGTTGGCATGAGTACAGATTGGTCTGATCAGCAATTAGCTCAAAAATCGCATTATTAAAGAATTTGGAAAAATAGGTTGGTGGAGAAAAGATTCCATCTTGTGCCATGAAATATGTTGGTGTTGCAGCTGACTGGTGTTCAAAATCGTTTTTTTTTCCACCTAGAAAGGAATGAAATATATAATGGTTTATTGGAAACCACTCACACTCCCCTTTTTTGCTCACTATACATTCTATAAATAACATGTATTACTTCCATGTACACATTCTCATGGTCAGTTAGCAGTCTTGGACATAATATTTTTGTCTGGGTTCTAGTCCACATGCATACATTCATGTACAGTAAGTGCACACACCCACATGAACACACAGTATATAGTGTTACTTTATCAACAATATCCTATTTAATGGTTTACATCACCTACATTTCTTAATTTGTATGGACAGGTGTCCTTCTGCTGCCTCAACATTACAGCTACAGTCACTACTGCTATCCTCACTGCTAATGCTGCTATCTTCTCTTCGGCCTTCTGCATCTACATAGGCTTCATCATCTTCCTCACTTGTCCCTTGCTCTGAATCTGAAGAGCCAACAGGTGGCTGAATCCCTCTCCTAGGCCTACTATAAAATATCTTTGTGGAAATTCCCTGAAATAGTTAGTAAATAGTAATAGTTAGCACCTTTATGTGATGAAAGCATTTCAGTTGTTGTTATTTAATATCTAATACTTATGGCCTTTAAAAGAACAGGCACACATAGTGCTATTAATGACTGTTTTACACCCCCATTTAGGCAACATATCCCAGGGGATACAGATATTTAATGTCAGATTTGGAGAACAGTACAAATATAATTCACATTTTTTTTTCATATTAACATGTCATATCATGCTTAAAAATGAATAGCTTATAAAAATGTCCCCCCAAAATTTGTGTTATGTATAAAATAAATACAGGTACTCACCATATGGTCAGTGAAGCCTTCTCCATCTTCCATCACAACAGATTCAGAAAGGAGTGACAAGTCTATCCCAGAATGCTCAGATGAAATCACATGACCTAAGTCCTTAACACATGACTCCCTCGTATGTTTTAATTGGATAAAAAAACACATGTTCCTAGCCCCTCCCACAGCTGGTCAAAATGTCTGTATCCAGCAGGATACAATATCCATTAAAGGGTATTGTAACTTTTAATGACGTTACATTTAAAGTTTAAATCTTTTGAACGCAGGGAGCAGGGAATCCAGCTGCAGGTTGTTGAAATGTTATGCAAACGGGAAGAAACTGCTCCAATTACGAAGTTCTCCAAGATAGGTAGCTGTTGTAACGTAAGGAGACTTAGAAACACTGATAGTAAGAACCAGCGATGCGAATCATGGCAGTGCAATGAGGTGTATTTTGAAAGATGCTCGGTGTAGGAGATAGTAGTGTGCACGGCCATGATCGTCTTCAACTACAACGCCCAGCATGCATTGCGGTGGAACTTTTTCCTGGCAACGTGATTTGTTTATCTCCCACTGTGGCCATGGAGACGGATGGCTGTTGCTGGGCACCCAGACAAGCTCCTAGTGTTTCACAGCTCCAGCCTAGGTAGCTGTGTGAAGAAGGCCCGAGTCCTTACAAGAGGAAAAATTCATTTTACCGAAACTCGGCGCCAGCGCAGCACACTGAAATAACGGTGGCACCCGAAAGCTCTGGGTGCTAGGTCGACGTTATCGGCGTCAGGCATAGGGTTATTCACATTATCTTTTTCACATTCAAGGCGCACCTGGTAAACATGCCTCTCTCGTTTAATACTGACGCAATTAAGCCTCCTCTACACGAGCAGATATCGGAGCTCCAAAGGAAAATTCAGCTTCTTGGTAGGTATTTCTTTTCATTAACGTTGGACTGATATTAGCCTGTCATCTGAGTGAAGCAGTTAAACGCGTCCCTTAAAGTCCCTTAGCTAGAAACTTGAGTTCGTCTGGTTTAAATTAATTGTACGCACCACGGTGCATAAAATACAATTTTAAAGAAACGTGTTAACTTAAAATCGGCAACTTTCGCGTAATTTAACAAAGGTGTGAGTTAAAGTTGATTTTGTAGGCGCTTTATCTCGACTTTTACTGTACAGTCGTACTGTACAGTAAGTAGTACATAAATAGTAGATTATGTAAGGATAGTGTTAGAGTTGGCAAGAACTTGTCATGATAAAACGTGGACCATATCAGTCGCTTGGAAGGACGAGCCTTCAAAGTTTATAGGGCATGACTAAACTAAAACATTGCAGCTAACGCTGGGTGGGGGCCGCGCAGAAAGTGGGAGATTTGCGCACCAGACTCAATTCAATTCAACTTTATTGTCATTATACTTACACAGGTGCATAGTATAATGAAAAGTGTTTCTCATTAGTCGGTCAGGTGCAGTATATAAACAGGACAAAAGATAAGACAATAGACTAACACAATAACAATAACAGTAACGTGTACTACCATAACGTAATCAAAACTGTGCAAAATCCGCAAACAGAGAAAATATAACAGGACAAAAACAGTGCAAGGTAATTCGGGGAACAGTGCAAAAATACTTTTGATTAATAAATATTACAACTATAGTTGTGTAGTGGTGTTGGAGTACAGTCCTTGTGGGTACAGGAAGAAGTTAGGAGAGATCATAGTATGATGGGAGGGAGTGGGGGCATCACCAACTTGACAGCTCTGGGGAAGGACGCCTTGCACATCTTATTATGAATCAACCACCTGTGCGTTCGAGATGCCGGCGGGTTATTGTAATATCTGCGCTCTCCTGACAATATCAGCGTTCCGCGATTTCTCTGTACCCCAGAAGAGTCATTATTTCTCAGCATCTTATCGGTGCTGACTGTTTTCTGTTCTCCAGCATTGCCTGTACAATGCGTGTTCATCCGTGGGGGTGGGGATGGTGGAAACATCCAAAACCACACAGGTGGTTTCTGTTCTCATACCAGCTACTTCGGTGTCTAAGCTGCCACACGTCTGCTAGCTACACTGCATTTTTAAAGCACGTTGTGCGGGGAAAACCATTCTGCATAGCTCTAATAAAAGCACAAAAGAGCCTGGTGGTGATTTACTGCAACAGTATGTGTTACAGTAGATTTTTTTATGGTTTTGATATTGAGGAAGAGTGGAGAGTCTAACGTATGACATTTCTGACTCGCAGAGGGGGACAGAAGCGCTTACTATGAGAGCTCCCAGTGGACCATCAAGAAGAACAAGGAAGCCATCCTGCAGCTCCGTCAGGAGAACAAGAGGCTACATAAGAAGTTGGCTGAAGCCTTAGCAGTAAGATGGTTTAGGATAAGAAGCCATTGGCCTCTTGCCTCGCAGCACAAACAGACATCATGTGTCTGTGCTACATTGGTCCTGCCGACTAGTTCATGTGAGGCAGGAATAGAGATTGGATCATTTTACATCCGCATTCTGGTTCTGTGCTTCACAAATCTAGACTTGGGGCTAATAAACTTTGCACACTGGGGCCTTGGAAGACCAGGGACAGTCGGAGTCTAGGCTGGGATCTCTTTGGAAGACCAAGTTTATACTTCCAAAACATCTACTTCTCAAGTTCCAGCTTGGGGTTCATCAACCCCCCTTTAATTAATTGTTTTAAAGGAAGTTTTATTTTGTGAACTTGGTTTAAGTCAGGTTCAAATGACAGCGATGCATAGGGTGGTTTCCTAGCTCATGGTCCATTTTTTGAAGGGCAGTTAAAAAGATAATTTTTCAGTGAATTTGGCAGAGAGCTGCATTTCTGAACAAGGCCCATGTGAAGCTGAGAACCCGGTGAAACAGTAATTGGGAATACTGGATTGAGGGGATGATGGAAGAGGAGATATAACACAGTTTCTAACTTTCTGCAATGTGCTGTCTGGTTCTGCAGGGAGATGAGCATGTGATAAAGGATGCCTTCCGGAACCGCATTGCAGAGAGTGCCACCCTGAGGAATAAGACAGGGAAGGTGAGGGAATTCCTGTATGGTGACCAGATAGCCTGAAAGCCACTGGCACACTGAGTAACTGGGAGTTAAGAGAAAATTCCCTGTTAAACCTGCATAGCTCTAGCTTTTAAGGACAATGCGCCTCATTATACATGAAAAAAAAATCTAAAAAAATAATTTTAAGACTAGGTCTGTTTTTTCACTAATTTTCTTTCTTGTGTAACACATGCATATAAAACCTGAAATGGAATATATGGCTGTCGAGCTGTACTGCAGTCGCAGCCTCAGTTTTGTTCTGTTCAGGAATAAACTGGTTATGCTGAAACAATTCTTGAAACGCACTTAGGTAGCTGTTATCTCACCTTATTCCTGTCTATGCTTGGTCTCCAGGCAGCGATTCAGATCATGGACCAGAAGGTGTGCGACAAAATGAAACGGCTAAATGCTCTGAAGCACAGCACCGAGACTCGCCGGCGCCGCCTGGAGGAGCTGCAGGAGCAGTACAGCAGGTTGCAGCAGGAGAGCCAGGCCTTGCAGCAGGGGGCTGAGGCCAGCTCTGAGGAGGCCAAGGTAACTGCAGCAACCAGGGCAGAGATCCTGGCCCACACCTCTCTCATTCCTTGCTGGAATGTCGTCATAAAGCTGGGAAGCTATCCGTCTTGTATAAGAGCTAGTAAATCAAATGGAAAGGCAGGGGATTCAGATCTGATACAAATTATTGGGAAACCAAGGCAAAGTAACTAAATTAGCGGTTTAATGAAACCTTTGGAAAACTGGCCAGATGTAGCATGGTAATTTCAATAGCAGTTGGACAGCACTTTGGCTTACTAAAGTTTAAAATAGACCTATTATATTTCTTGAAAACTCTTACAGACAAGCCTTGGCAATTGGGAGCTTACCCATGGCTCTTTCAGTCTGTCATAGTCTCCCATGCACAGCATGGGAAAAGGTTTGTCAGAGGTGAGCCAGAGAATGGCTGGCTGTGGATTTCAACATGAAGATCCACAGAGCTGGGAATGGTGGCAGCATTGATGCAGTTCATTCTCTTTTTGTTCTGCTTAGAGAATTTTTGTACCTGGCGTTGCTCGGATGTGCTGGATGTAACCGCTTAATATTTTGGTATAATTAATCACATCGACATTTTTAAAGAAATTCTGTATACTGGTAAATGTTCAATGAGAGGGCAATGTTTGATCTTAGGAAGTGTTTTTAAGTTTTTCAGACTAGGCCTGCTCCAGGCTTTGAGGCATGAAAAAAGCAGACTGTCTGGATACATTGAAAAGCCTGAAGATCAGGACTGACAATTCTGTAAATTTAATAACAGAATGTACATACATTATATATTAGGTGGTTCCAAAGCACAGTTGTACTTCTGAGACAGAAATGCAAATTGTGGACATTATGTAGATCTTTTAGGATGTGAGCACAGAATGGTTGGGACACTTGGATGTTTTAGATTTTCATCTTGGAAAAATAAGACTCCCATTGCATAGCAGTTCACGCCATTTTGGGTGTTCCAGGTTGCAGACTATTGTGTAAAATGCATCACAGAATTATTTATTTTGAGTTATGTATTTATTTTTTATTTATTAATGAATTTATTTCATTATTTATTTTCTTAAGACATGCCAAAAATAATGTGGCTCTTCAAGTGCAAAATGAATCAAATTGCCAGGCAACTGAAGTCCTTATTTCTATCCTAAAATGTGTTTTTCTTAAAATAACACCGCTGTCCCCGCCAAAACATTTTGAAACCACATGACCTGGGGATTCATTGTCACTGACCTTTTGCTTCTATTCACAGAATGAAAGAGAAGGCACAGAGGAGCAACCCCAGCAGGTTAACACACCTCTTTATATTAATGCAGCCCTTTTTAAGTAGATGTTTGCCATGAATCCCCTTCTGTTTGATTAAAAATAACATCACCGTTATCCTGATTGTTCAGTTGTTCATGTAACACCACTAGAGGGTTCGCACCTAATTCTGATTGTTAGTATTTACTGCAAGGCACATCTTTATATACATCTTTGCTTGTCCAGGTCTTCTGTGTTTGACCACTAGAAGAGTGTAGACTAATATTGGGCTGCATTCTGGGGATGACCAATATGCAAATGTTCAGGCCTTTGGGTCCTGAAAGAGGCTAATTATTTTAGCAAAAGGATTTTTATAACTGTACACAGCTTTCAGATAATAGAGCAGTAACATTTGGAGAAAAGTGTTCAATAGATAGAGAGAGAGCTGTCAAAGTAAAGCAACTCTTTACACAGGAGTGGATAAAATGATTACAGTGGAGTGTTAGGAAACCAAGCATATGCTATGAAGTGCTGTTTTAAATGTGGTGTTGATTGATTATAGTGAATAGGTAGACTCAGGAAGCTGAGGTCAATATCAGACACTAATGTGGCAAAAGACAGTGTTAGGAACACCCAGTCAAATGAATGCTCTTTCTCAGTGGCAGAACCATCCCCCAATCTCAATCCTGCTGAAAACCAGTGAGACTGGTACAAAGGGTTGTTCAGTCCCACACACTGTTTCTCTCATTGCAACCTCAGCTAGATACAGTGCTGCTAGGAAGATGGGATGGGATTGAAGTTGAGTTACAGATATTTTTAAACCTTTTGATCCTGGCCACGTTCTGTCCAAGCTGTTCTTTTTGCTCACTGACTCCCTAATGTTACTTAGTGAGAGGTTTTCTTATTTTGAAGGTCCGTGTGAGTTTTTTGCAAGGTTTTGCAAGCCGGGACAGCCAGGCTTGTAGCCAGAAGATTTTTTTAATCCGTTAGGAGTGTCACTGTGAGGGTGCACAGCATGGACAATGTGGTTGCCTCTCATTCACATCTTTTGCTGTGTTGTTGTTGTTTCAGACCCTACGGATTCTTGAGAACCGGTTGGAGAAAGCACAGCTGAAGGGCCAGGAAGCAGAACACATCATGAACGTGTATCTGAAACTCAAAGCTCACCTTCAGGTGTGGATCTCAGATCCTATTTAATATTTAGGTTTATGGATGCAAATTCGACTCCCTTTATGTACATTTACACCTGGTGCCAGTATTTTAAATCTCATGTTGGTTACGCTATTCTTATTTGCCATGGATAGTTCTTCAAACTTTATTGAATCCTCATTCATTGTAGAAAGCTGTAGTTAAAATCTGTTCTAGTCGGTGACCTAATTCTAGTTTGAACGGCAGTGCTTACCTCTGCGATTCTACAGACATTATCTTTTCGACATACCCTGGCATCTGCTTGTCTGGATTAGTGCAACTGGTAAGCGCCTTTGGGCCCTCATATGAAGGGCAGAGTTTTCAGTCTTTTCTCTCTTGTCCTCACCACCTGCCTCTTAATTCCCCGTGTCCATCTCTTCTTATTTCAGGAGGAGAGCCTGACATTCCAGGTGCAGCTGGATGGTCTGGAAGCAGAGATCCTGCGTCAGCGGCAGGAGCTCAGGGAGCTGCAGATCATGAACAGTGATGCACACCTCTCCAGAGACGCTGCTAAGGTCTGACCGACATCAGCCTGTCCTCATGTACCCAGTGTGCTAGTGGAACTGCTGTAGACCAGTGTTTTTGTAGCTGTGTTAATCTATTCAGTTTGTTACAAAACAGCCAAGTAGAAATATTCTGCATCTCTTCATTCCTTATACATTGTCCTTTGCTCTTTGACAAGACATAGCTTCTGAAAATGCAAGACATTCAGACAGAAGCCATCCCAGTGTCTTGACCAGCAAAGGCCCTCTCTAGTGCTGATTCAAGGTTGGGTCATGTCACTTGCCCACTGTGTCTGAGATTCTCACACACCACAATTCGTACCCTAAACCACGTCAAAGACTTTTGCAAGATCAGCTGAACCGGGTTCAGGCCAGACGCGCTTCTTTCCGATCATGGAAGTGTCTGTGTTCCGACGGGGCGCTGTGCATGTGGCTGTTGCAGGCAGAGCTGCAGCGACAGGAGGAGCAGGTGTACAGGGAGCGGAGAGAGAGAGAGCAGATCCTGGCCGAGTACAAGAAACAGGCCGAGGAGAGGAAGGCCCAGGCAGAGCGCGTGGAGAGGCGGGTAAGGCTGAGCCCGGGACAAAGACAGTCCTGGATACTTTTCAGTTTTAATCTCTAACACTGCTTTACGTTCAGATAATGATGCTGTAAATGAACATCAGCCAGCAGCATTCTTTGCTAATTTGTTACTCGTTCATCTGTTATTTAGCTTTTTCAAAAGCCTTCTCATGTAATGTACCTTAGCTATTAATTGTGCCATTGCTGCACTATAAGGACGCACTTCCTGGATGTTTTACTGCTACAATAATGTTGTAATGAACTACTGATGCTGCAGTCTTACTGAGCTGTGTCCTACTGCCTTGTGTTGGTGTGCTTGCGGCCACTCGCAGGCCCAGCGGGCAGCCATGCACCCTGATGAGGCGGGCAGCGAGGCCCACCGCAGCAGCACCAGGGTGGGGGAGGAGGAGAAGGTCATCTCCACCTTAGAGGAGGCTTTCCAGCGTATCAAAGAGGCCACCGGCGTCACTGACACCCAGGTACCGGATCGCGGGGGCTTGAGACGGTCAAACACTGCTCTCGCTCGCGCTTTCTCCATCGTCGTACGCTTTCCCAGAGGACAATCTGAGAATCCCATCATCAGTGGTATTTTTTAAATCACTATAAATTCACATTAATATACACATATACGTATACATTTTTTAAAATAAATAACTTCAACAAATAGCTTCAAGTAGAGCTTAATTGTTGCCATAATTAATGTAGAGAGCCTAAATGGATTTTGGTTGTGTTTTACACCTGCTCCTATTTGTATGCAAAACTGCTTCCCTGCCCTGGTTGTTGGTATTTCAGATATGCGACATAATCAAAGAGGACATAAAGAATGCAAAACGAATTATTTCTTTCAAGTAACTTAACAGGTCTCTCGAATTACTCATTTATAACAAGTGAATCGATGACTAAATAGTATGAAATTAGAACTTGCTCTAAATCTTGGGTTCATTCTTGTTATTTCATAATTCTGTGCAACAGTTGACTACTGCTATTTACAATGTAACTGAACCAAAAGATAACCAAACACACCAACATTCTAGTAGATCCAATGAGAAATGAATTGTGTATACTTTTAATGTACAGAATTAACCATAAATACTCTATTATTATCTACTTTTTATATTTACAACATTCAACATATTTTGTTTGATAAGTTATTTTTATAACTATAGGTGAAGAGCGAGGGCATGTTTTGGCTTGTAGTATTGTACTGAAACATGTAAATATTAAATCACAGTAAATACATTGCATGATTAACACACACAACCTAACATGTTAATACAAATGCTGTATGTAAATTCAAAGCATTATGGTCATTTCTAAGGTATAATTGTTATTATTAGATATGATGATAGTAAGGAGTTGTACCTTTTTTATTTTAAATCATGCCACATTATTATGAGCAAACCCCCCTCCCCGCCACAATATCCATAGCAAATCTGTCCCATTTTCTCACAGCTCTTCTGTGTCCGTTGTGTAAATATCGTTCTTGTGCATTTAGGCCAGGGCATAGCTTAACATACAAAGCTGAGCTTTCAGACCCTGCTGAGATTGGTGTGTTTCAGATTCTGTGAGGATGTTTGATGGGCAGCTATGGTGTGATTTATCACATTGTGTCAGTTACTGTCTTTCAGTAGACCACTGGAAGTACAATTACGTTTTCAGGTGATGAAGGGATTTCCGAAGTTGACTGCTATGACTCAAGTCAGGACACCCTGTTCTCCCCCTGTCTGTGTTGCGCACCTGCAGGAAGTGGTGGATCGCTTCATCTCTCAGGGCGACACGCAGAGACACCTGGAGCAGCTGAAGAGCGAGAACGAGAAGACCCTGCTCAGGCTGAAAGAAGAGAGGGAGCGATTGCAGGCAGAGTTCCAGGAGATGAAATACTCCGGGGAGGCCAAGCTCTCCAGGTACACAAGTTCCCCATAAGTGCACTGCTCATTCTGTACATCCGGAATCCTGCTGGCACAAGTCCAGTGGACATGCAACACTATAAGAATTCTGGTTTTCATTCTGTCAGAAGATCTTAATGAGTTAATTGAATCATTCATTGGCTTAAGCCCAAATTTCTTTAAAACCTCTTGGCTTTCCAAGACCAGTAAATCGGATTAATTGCCCTAGATTCCTAAAATTTGTTTTTGCTTTTATTGTGTATTGATGTTTTCTGTCACTAGGCGTCCCCTTAGTTAAACCTATGACTTGGTATAGGGCCATGGATTTGCTCTTACAGTCTCTCCTGATGCTCTTTAAACTATGTTGTTTTTCCTGTCTATTTCTAATGAGCTATGTTTTTGCATGCCACATTTCCTAGAAATTCCTTTGTGCTCTGACATGTAGTTTCTGAAAGGGATTTCAGAAATGCCGTTGTTTGGAAGGGTAGTGTCTGCCACAGTATGTGTCATTGTTTTTGGCAATTATCCTCAGAACCTTTCTGATGAATGATTTTTCCCTTCACTGGCTGTACGGGGTTCTGGGTAAAGCCATTTTTGCCTGGTCTCAATGTTTTCATCAGTGGCATAACCTGTGTTATGTGTGGGGGAGGTTAATAAACAGACACTACTTGAATTGTTTTAGCTTTATATTTTATGCCCAGTGACTCACCGTAATGTATTTTCTGTGCTATATCCATGTGATGCCTGTGCATATTAGATGGAGTTCCTGCATTCACTGTGTGATTCTTTACTCCTGTTCTGAGCGCTGTCTGCCAAAGTGAAAGCCAGGATGTGTACTGTGAAAGTGCAGGAGGCGGAGGAATAAACGGACCTATATCATACAAACCTACAACTTTCCAGGGAAAGATTGAAGGTGTACTGTGAGACCCAGACAGACAACAGAAGCAGACATTCCTGGGTGTTAAAACTTTATCCAGAAAAGATCAAAGGTCAGAGAAGCTGGAAGAGTACTAGAAATGGGTCCACATTCCCTTACTTACCTTAAGAAATAGTGCTTTAGCAGGACTTCAGGTAAACAAGAAAATCTATATAAGTTGTTGAAAACTTTGTATTCTGCAGATGTTGTGCTGTGGTAGTTCTAGCTCATAGTAAAACACACTGGAGGCAGTGTGCTGGACAGCAGTCTCTCCAAGTGACGCTTGGGGGTTGAAAGCAAGTTAAGCTGCCTTTATTTATAACAGCTGTAGTGTGCAATATCTGCAATATGCAGGTTTTCCATATTCCTGAGTTTTTGAGGAGTTATCTACCCCACTACACGTGGTCCTCATCACCATAAGCAGGAAGGATCCCACAGAATTGTGCAGAAGTTACTCTGATCATTGAACAATGTTCTAACCTCCTGAGTTGTTTGGTGTAAACAAAGCTACAGCAATTCTTATGCTACGGTCATTTTTACGTTATTTTCTTTATGTGAGATTTTGACTCACAAAAGCAACCTAGAGAAGAGAGCTAGCAACAACCTTTTGAATCCGTCTGTCTTCAGACTACACAAAGCATTTTTAGCACTTTTCGTTTGGATTGTGCACAGCGCCTGGCCAGATCTCCACCTTTTCTTGCATTTTTTTCTCTACCCTTTCCTTGAAATGAAGCACATGCTGTATGCCAGCCTGCTTGTCTAGTAATGGAATAAAGCTGGTAATTGACTGAATTAGTTTACAGTCCTTAGCCTCCATAATTTCACGTCTCTTACCCGACAGCCCTATTGATGCCCGTTCTCTGTCCTACAGCGGGCAGCAGATGCTGGAGGAGTGTGAGGCTCATCTGAGGGCGGAGGAGAAGCGCCGAGACGAGGCCAAGGAGAGGCTGGAGAGGCTGACGCGCACCCTCAACACCGTGAGGGCCGGAGTGGAGCACCTCAGCGACAAACTGCAGCACATCAAACTGGTACTTTTTCCGCAAAACAGATCAGAATCCCAGCTGCACAGAGGGTGGATCCACTTCTTGACTTTTGAGCAGCAGGCTCTTGCTCAGACTGCGCTGATAAAGCACACAAGCAAAACATTTAATACTATTTTAGCTTCATGGAGTCATTAAAATAAACTGATATATCTAATATCTGGTCTTGGTTTATAGGTAAGAGCCTTACAGAACCAGTAACTGCAGAGATCGCTGTGCAGTGGTAGTCTTATCTCATGATTTAAAATTGCAGATAATGACATTTTTTAAATGACTTTAACTTTATCAGCATGGGCAGTGGTAAGGATTTATATGGTATGGGGAGATTGCAAATAAGTGCATCAACATTTAAATAACTCTTGATCAGCCAAATGTTTATTGTTCTGTAAAAATGGGAATTATTTTTTTTCTAATTCGATCTACAATGTGGGCATTTATGTGATTCTAATTTTCTTTAAGGAAGATTTATTTTAAAATGTAGATCAGCAGAAAAAGACCCCTTGACACAGAGGGTGTTGGATGTCTTCCATGAACTACTGTATCTAACCATCTCTTTGAAGCTCTTCTCTTCTCCCTGCTCCTTTAAGAAACAGCTGGATAAGATCCTGAGATTAGTTATTTCCTAGCAACCAAGCAAGGGAGGTAGCCCTAACTACGACCTCTCATTTGCAATATTCCTTATGCTTTTAATTAGGTTTGCATTGTCCAGCATAAATTAGCACATGCAAAGCACTTTTTGTTCTGTTATATGAGTGTAAACCTCTCAGCTATTGTATAACTGCCTCTTTGAATCTATTCATTTTTGCTGCAGCGCTTATCAGATGCAGTTGTATTTTGGTCTTTACAGATTGCAAAATTAGAATATAAAACTACATAATATCAACATAATGTAATGAATATCAACAAGAATAATATGTTAGAATGCTAGATATTGCATACAGCAGTTCTCTTTTTATGAGACAGTAGCTACTCCAGCATCAGAAATACTAACAATGTGTTGACTATAAGCAATATGATTATTTTGGATGCCTCTTGTACCTGAATATGTACTGTAGGATTATAAACAAGACAAACCTGTTCCTGCAATCAAACAGCAGCAATGGTATTCTGACTGCTTTAGATTTAACTCATGCTTTGGCTATTATTTATATAAATGTGTATAAATGTAATTTCATACTGAAAGGTAAAAATTACACTGAAGCATTGTTACACCATGCAAATAAGGTTTGTACTGATTTTATGCCAGATCCACTGAGCAGCATTTACAATTCTGAGAAACATGCATTTTAAGATACAAGTAATAGGTTTATTCCATGCTGAAAAAAAGAAGAAAGAGAACACAACGTTTCGGCCGTGGAGCCTTCTTCAGGTGTGAGAGAGACAGGGCAGTAGGCAAAGGTAAAGTAGCGGGAGAACAAAGGTTGAGAGGGAGGAGGAGTGAGAGGCGGGAGCAGGGGACAGAAAGAGAGGCCAATCAAGAGGTGTGAAGTCAGAATGGGTGCGGAGAGGTGTGAAATGAAACTTCCAATGAATGGAGAAAATTTAAAAGAACAGTAATCTGTCGTTAAGGGAAGGGAGAATGTGTGATCCTAGCTGCAGAATAATTTTAGTTTCGGTGGTCTTTCTGATGTATGAGTTCGGAAAACCGTCTTTGAGAACACAGACGGAGAGATTAGAGTGGTCGTGGCCGTCAGAGGTGAAATGAGAAACAATGGGCTTGGAGAGATCTTTAATCTTCACAGCCCTGACGTGTTCTCTGAAGCGGTCTCCGAGTCTCCTTCCTGTTTCCCCAATGTAGATGGCTGGGCATTTACTGCAAGAGATACAGTAAATAAGGTTGCTGGAGGTACAAGATGCTGTCTGGGTGATCCGGAATTGTCCTGAGGGGCCTTGAATGAGTGTGGTGGTGGCTGTGTACTTGCAGGTGATACAGCGAGCTCTTTTGCAAGGGAAAGTGCCCTTTGTTAGATGCTTCCAGTCTTAATTGTAAGCCTTTGTTTTCTGAAGCTAGTCTTGAGTCTTTACTGACGCTTTAGTTTGCTAATCCAACCAGCACTTAACATTTTATTTGGTTCACCTGCATCACACGGTAAATTAAATGCTAAAAAAGTAACCTGAAAGTTTGCAATTTGCATAATTCTAAAATAAATAGGCAGGTTTTTAACTAAATATTTAGGTGGTGGCCAGATAACAAACCTGACCTGGAGCTGGGAATCACGTTGTAAACAGCCAGGTTCCATCCTAATGAGAGAAAGGGCATGGAACTAGGTTCAATCAACATCTCACTCCCTTTCTGTCTCCCAAAGCCAAAAAGCCAGGTTCCGGCTGTCAAGGTACCCCCTACCTCAGAGGAGTATGTCCTGGAGCTGCTGTTTCAGTCAGAGCAGAAACTGCTGGAACTGCTGGAGGAGCTGCAGGGCAAAGATCTTGCTGCCATCCTCAAGGAGATGGAGGAGGAAGAGGTGAGAGCCCAGAAAGAAACTGAACAAAAAAACCTAGAATATATTGTAAATATATTTAAGAATCACTATTTTTATTATGCCCTCCTTTACTAGGTTTCAGTTTATTGGCTAAACTGAAACTTAGTAAAGATGTGAAGCCTGTTAATTTCCTTTGAATCATTCTTGTATTAAACACCAACACCGCGGAATAACAGGAGTGCCACTGTATTCTGTGAGAGAACCGCTATGCTGTGATTATAGGCCACTTAATGTTACCAACCTCTAAACACCTGAAACACATAGACACTTGAAACCAAGTTAGCACAGAACCGTAGCTGAAGTTGGTCATTCCTGACCAATAACATCACACTCTCGGCCATGATATCTGAGTGTCATCAGGGAGATGAATTTTCGACAAGGCTCAGAAATAAGTATCCTTATATCAGATTTCAATATGGAGCTTTGCAACGTGTTGTACTGCCTCTCAAATTTCATAAGCTTACATGCCAAGATGACTTTGTTTGTAGAACAATTACTCGACTGTCACTTTATTTCAGCAGTGCTGGCTAAAATATCCATGCCTTCTAAAATAGCAACATCCTCAAAATCAATGAGTCATTTTGGTATAGCATGTCAAAAAGTATTAGAAATTAGTGATTGATATACTGGGTTCTTTCACTCAGCATGAAAACAATAGTTTGGAGTTACCTTTAAGGAGTGCAGGTTTCTTTGTTCTCAGATTTCTGTCTCTCTGTTCTCATGCAATGATGAAATGTTCTGATGTTTGTATCTCTTTATATTGTAAAAGGTTTTTGACTTGGTCAATGTTATTGCAGGTTATGAATTAATAGATATTCACTTTTCAAAAAAACATTTTGTGGTGACAAGAAGTATGCTGCATATATTTATAATTATATTAATCTAAAATATTACTGTAGAATACCTAGTAACGACTTGTTTTCTCTGATAGAGCACCAAAGTCCATTGTCAAAATGCATAATCAAAGCTGTCCATTCACAATACCATAAATAATTTGTTCAGAAAAGCATATGTGGCTTACAACAAAATAAGTATACACCTCGTTTAATTAGTGCGTCACATTCTTCGGCATCTTCAGATTCCATTAGAGTGTTTTTTTCTGAAATTTGAAGTGTGCTCTTTAGCTGGGTGCTTGACTTCTGTGTAGGTCTGTATCGGTTTCTCAAAGAATCTAAGATTCAGAGCAGTGTGTTAAATCAGAGTTTTCAGGGGATGTGCAACGATTGGTTGACTGCTGACACCATCCGTCCAGGGGGATAATAGGAGAGACGTCAGGCAAATTCTTAACGCAAGTTGTTTGTTATGGAAACAAGACTGGCTTTGTCAGCAGGCCATACCTGCTGGGAAATGACTGTGCAGGCACACAGTGTTCTGGCTTCTGGCTTCTGACTTCTGTTGATGATGGTATAAAATCATTCAACTTTGTTATTTTGCAAAGAATATGAGTTTTGCATGTTTCACATCATTATTGACACTTGAGGTCTGTCCTGTCAGGAATCATTTGCAGAGTTGTTTTATACCAATCGGTAATCCTTCTGCTAGCCAGCTCTATGCTTTAAGATTTATTGAATTGATTCCAGATGTCACAGGTTCGAGCCTGAGTTGTGTCAGGTTTGGGATAAGTCAGAGACAACTCTGTTGGTTTTCTGGCATTTTGTGGCTTGTGCCTGTAGGCTTGTTGTGACATTATTGAGAACAAGCTCACAGCCTGTCAAATGACAAAAGTCTCTGCTACATTGTGTTGTGAAAAAGCCACTACTGCAGAGCCTAGTTCTAAGAAATTACTATTAATTGGATGGTTCCAAAATTGAACTAAAACATCAAATAATTTGCCTGTTTTCCTTCTCAAATAATTCACCAATATAGAAGCATAATAGATGTTTAGAAAACCTGTTGAACTGTGGACATTATTAGAGTTTACTTATTTAATAAAAAAAATATATGTAAATGCCCATAAGGTCCATAAAGAATATTCAGAATATGGTACCTAAAGGAATAAGTGCCTTCCTATTTTAGTAAACAGAAAATATAAATCTTCACTAATATTTCACAAATGCTTCTCTTTGTAGTTCCATACTAGCATTGAGGGAAAACTCCCAGCCTACAACATGAGGATCAAACTCCCTGAGACCCAGAAACAGGACCTCTATGATGGTGAGTGAATCAGCCAGATTCTAACATTCTGTAGTTTGAGTTTTCCATTTGAATTGTAAAAGATGGAACCCTGGGTTTTTAAGCATGTAAAATGCTTTTATTTGGAGCAACTCCATTCCTCCATGGACAAAATGCTGCAAGTTATATAGCAGCTTTTAAATTCGCAAAAGATTAATACCTGACAAACATGTTTTTTATATTTTATAAGTTATTTTTATTGATGTAATCAAGATCTGAATTGCAATAAAATCCTGAGGAACCTGTGAACATGGAAACTGAAGAAGCCCCTCACTAATCTAAGGATTTGTGGAGACAAGGAATTTCTTCTCTAGAATGCTTTAAGACTTTTCAACATGCTTTCAAAATCTGTAATTTTGAGAAGCTGCACATCCAGTAAGTGCTGATAAAACCTTTTGTTGACCGAGTTCATGTGAACAGGAATCTTTGCACTGTGCGTGACATTGTCAAGGTCACTTGCAAGTTGAAGATTTAGGTTTTCATATCTTCGTCTTGTTTTGCATTTTTCTAATTGTTTCCTCAATAGTAATACAGTCTTATTTTTCATTTTTTAGGAAATTGGCCCTGTAATAATCTCAGTGAATTAGTCTTGGATCCGTTGTTTTATAAACAATAATATTGTTTCTGTTTAGTATTTAACTCTAGTTAAATCAAGTAATGGTTAAATACTTTACGGCATACAGAATTGTCCTAAATCAGCAGGGTATGCATTTATTTAGTTCCTCCTGCAGAGTTAAAATCCATATTATGCTTCTAGTGTCTGTTTCTGGGCTCCTTAACACAGCAGCAACGAATGAAAAGTACTAAAGTAAGTGTGTTGCTGCCGAATCTGTGTAATGCAGTGTATAAAAAGAAGTATGTTCTCTCTTCTCTGTGCTAGAAGAGGAAGAGAGCGGAGAAGACGAGTCTGACATCGTAACTCGGGCCGCGCTGAAGAGGCAGTCCCAGCAGATCATCGACTCCAAGACCAAGAGGAAGACACGCACCAAGAAGAAGAAGGGCAAGCATTAGGCATGCTGCTGCCAACCCCACCAGCAGTTCATAGGACAGTTTTGGAGAGTAGAGGTCAGGTGGGTTTTGAGGGCAAACCCTGTTGACTTTCCCTAGGCCACTAACGTAGACCCTGTAAATCCAGTTTGACAAAACCAGCTCTATTTGCCAGTCTGTGAAGCTGCTAATTGTTTTACCGCGGTGAGGCTTCTAGCAATCCTGGCTTTCAGAACATCTTGCTTCACTTGCTGCGCCAGCTCCAGATGAACTCCTCCCAGTTTTCCAAAACTGTTTCAGTGGAAAGGAAAACTAGAAATCTTTGCATGGGGTCCCGAGTGCAGTCCGCGTAGTGCCGTAGTCTAGCAGGGTGTCGGAGCCTCTTTCACATATTTTGACTGAAGAGAAGGGGAAAATAAGTCTAAGGCTTAAAGTCTTTATAGTTCAGAGAGTCTTCAAATGCCTGCTGGACTGTGGCCTTCAAATACCAGAGTAGAAGACCCCTGCTCTATTCTACGCAGATATGAGTTCTTGACCTAGTTTAACTTTAAACTTAGAAACTTACTCTGCATCAAAATGTCTACTTCAGTCCCTAGTAATACAGCATTCCAAGCAAAAGAAGCAAGGAGTTTTTATTTAAGAAAGTTCTCAGTTCATTCTCAGTTGGGCACCTACGCACCCAGCCTGATCAGCTTTATATTCTAAACAACCATTTGTATTCATGTTGAAAGCCCTTTAGTGCTGAGGACACAGATCTAGTCCAATTTATAGAACATGTAGTTGTAGCTAATGTGATTTTTAAAACACTGACAATTTCAAGTATGAGCTAAAAGTATGAGCTTTCTGAGCTAAATCTGCCTCCTTGGAACTAAGTGGTTGTGCAAAAACTACATATCTACCGAATTCTTTAGGATACTTTATTTCTCTTATACTGGACATTTATAGTCTTTATCTTTGCTAAATGTATACAGGATTAGATTGATGTACATACAAAAGTTAAATCTTCAACCCTCAAAATTTCCTTCTTAGTAATTGGGAAAGATCTCATTGCTCTGTGTAATGAATATATTTTTTGAAGATCTTTTTATTTGCCATCTTTAAAAACAAACCTTTGCTCCCTTACAAGAACAGGCAATAAGGATATGAGGCTGGAAATGCTTTTGATTTTAATGGGTAAAGCTACTCTTATAGTGACCTCAATAACTCAAATGGAGAGAGACAGAGTCTTTTCAGAACATCAAAGCCATTCTCTGTCCTCTACTTGTATTTGAAACTGTTGTATGTGTGATCTGGTCTAGTAAATTTAGTTCTGACCTGCTTTTATTCCTGTAGATATTCAGAATTATGTCCACATTGTCTAAGGCGATGAGAATATTCTCACTTATTAAAATATTACACAAGAAAATTCATTTTCAAGTTTATTTTGTTCTTTTAGATGTTTTAATTATTGTAATAATAATTGTTATTAAAATATTATAAGAAGTATTTTGGCACCAAAATTATCACAGTTATGCCATAACCCCTGTGCATTAAATGATTGTGTTCCAGAGTGATCTTTTTTTGGTGTTTTATGACACTTGAAACCAATCCCAAACAGCCAGGGATGTTCTTTCACTGTTCTTTTGTAAAATGCCACCCTTTGTTCTGTTTCAATAGGTACTGTAGCTCCACATGACCTGAAGTTTGGATGCTTTTCTAGTGAATGTAGAGATACAGATAAAGGCACAACAGGAATTTAAGTGCACTTTCAATGCTTTCAGTGTTTTGTCTACGTCAGTGTGTCATCTGAGCATTATCACATAGATGTTTTTATGTCTGGGGTTCTTTAAAGGTATTCAGGGTATAGCATTAGCATCCAGACTACAGTCCTTCACACAAACAAGTGAACATGAATGAGATTAAATGTTTTTTCTTTATCCACCTTATGCAAAAGTGTTCCTTGCCCTGTTATACTTTTGTAAAATGTTGCTCTTCTGAGAGAAATCTATAAGTGGCTTCACCACACTTACTTCTTGGCCTGCAGTATCTGAGTGTCCCATTCAGACTGTTCTGCTCTGACAGTTACACCCAGTGCTTGCCAACATTATAATGTTAAATGGATATAAATCCAATTAGCCTCTGATGCTTCTTGTTAACCTGGTTAATTGTTGTTAACTGTTGTTTATTTTAACTGTGTAGTTAAACATATTATTGTCAAAGCCATGTAATCTGATATATCAATTTGTGATTCATATTATTGTAAAATTACTCCATACAAGTTTATCATCTTAAAACATGTTATGTATGCATTTAAAGTTACTGTATATATCCAGGTATATTCCAATAGCAATTAATCAACTCTAAAAGCTATATAATAACTGTGGTTATTATATGTTATATGTATATGTTATATAATAACAAAAGTGTTTGTTGTGGATAGATATTTGGACAGTATTTGCATATAAATGACAAAAACCTAATATTTTGAGTGGATAAACATAATCAAAAGGTATGCAAGTTTTTTTTTGTTCATGACTATGACATGTTTTGCACACTAATTTTATGTCAGATCATTTTTTTTACCCATAAGAAGATTACAGGGTGACCAGAATCAAGTATTTAAGATCAAGGCATTCTATACTCTAAACCAACCCAGTGGTTCTTCAGAGTCACCAGTGAAACACAAATAGAAACAATGGGAAAGTATGTTTAAGACTGTGAACAACTTACACACTGGGCTATGGGAGAAGCTACAGTACATAGCTGTGTCGCCGAAGCTGGTACCCTAGCCTTCTTTCAAGAGATGGTGTGTGATCCTTGGCTCAATTAGCTACTAAAAACCAAATGAGACAGGTGGAACTTTCTTATGTTCCCATGCTTTTAGACTTTGTTAACCACAGGCTCATTTATATCGGTAGAATGTAACAGTATTCAAAACTGCCAGTGTGAATGCAAGTGGACTAGAACAGTTGTGGACTCTAGTGAAAAACGGTACTGGACAGAAGCAAATGTTACTGTTGCATTCAATCCCAGTAGCATAAATGCTTGCAGCATCAAGTAGTGACGTGTGACATAGTTCATGTTCTGAAACATTTAATTCGGATAAGAAATAGCAATTTAAATACTGTACTTGTTATATCTGCGCTAATTATAAGCCAGTTGAATGTCTATATTTTCGCACCTTAGATTGGGACTCTAGAGAGACCAGTTCATTACTATTTCAAGGTTGTTAGAGTAACTGATTTTCATATCAAAAGCTGATAAGAAGACCTTTCTCAGATGTACTTTGGGTCCTGTAACTTTCCATTTCACAGTGCAGGTGCTGATTGTGCAAGTGTTGCAGTAAAAGGCACTAAGCATCTTGACACAGGGTTTTAGCGCCTGGGAGGTGGTTAGTGCTTATGCTTGAATTTAGGAGAGTAGTTGTTCAGTTTTGAGACTTCACAGTCTAACCCTAACCCTTCCTCTTTCAATCACTTGCAGGAATTAAAGGGTTTATGATCAGAGTCTCTTATGGTGATTTGGCTTATTGTGTTAAAAATTGGGCTGCACAGTGCTTTCTAGTGCTTTAGGCCCTGGGTTCAGTTCCAGACCTGGGGTGCTATCTGTGTGGAGTTTGTATGTTCTCCTCGTGTTCATGTGGATTTCCTGCAGGTGCTCTAGTTTCCTCCCACCAGTGCAAAGACATACTGGTAATTAATTTGCTTCTGGGAAAACTGGCCCTGGTGTGAGAGTGTGCATGTCTGTTTTGTCTGTAAGTCCTGTGATGGACTGGTGTCCTGTCCAGGGTGTTTCCTGCTTTGTGCCCATTGCTTGCTGGGGTAGGATCTGGCTCCACCTCAATCCTGAACTGGATAAAGTGATTAGAAGATTGATGGATTTTTAGCTAGTTAGCAGCATGTCTGCAAAGACAGGTTTTTGCAGCATGTTTCATAGATGCTTATAGGGCTAAGACTTAAATAATTTTTATATTCATTATGTCTTAATTTGACTTTTGGTGACACCAACCTTTTGGTAGATCAAATATGTTCAAAGCATAATTGGATGTAAGTGTGCAAGGCGATGTCTCAAATGTCTTTGAGTACAGCCAAGGCCATGTTGAATGCCGTTAACTTTGCTCTTGCAGCACCTCCACTTTTCTTTTTCTTCTGCTGAATTCTGTGGCCTTAGCTTGCCCTGTGCTCATGGATACTCTGGCAGTGTGACTTTCCATGTGATCATTTTTAACATTTTTAATGAAAAATGTTCACGTGCTCCCTGCGGAGCAGTGCATGACTTAACGTTGTAGTTTCATCTGGCAAGTCAATGGAGCGAAACGAGGATTGTAAAAACAATATGCCGGTTGAGAAACCTAGATTACAAATGTGTTTAAATGTAGTATATCTCTGCTGCATATTTATTACAGTTGCCATACATGTTAAGAAATATTTGTTTTAATGTTACTCTAATAAGGCTAGGGTTTATTAATAGTGAGGCTGACATAATCACCCAAAGCATCTAGCAAGGGATTAGATTATGAAAATATAATCATCACAATAATGGAAATACCAAGCCATCTCCTCAGTTCACAAACCATAATTTTCATTTACTCTGACTAGAGTATATGCACAGGAGTTATTTATTTTTGTGCAGCTAGCTACTACATCAGTGTTTTACTGTTTCTTTTGAAACCAGTGAAAATCTATCGAGAACAAATCAAAATGTGAGTTAAATTCTGATAATTTTATTAAATTCCAAAATTGGGATTCATCAGTCCTTTCTTATGGATCTGTATCCAGTTATTCTCAGAAATATTCTTTATGTATCTACAATAACAGTGCTATTCTTAATGATTAATTTTTAACCAAACCACAGCACTGAGGTGAACTGTAAGAATTTAGGAGTCTCTAGTTACAGTAAGTAAGATGGCAAAAGTAAGTCAAACTTTGCTCTTGATTTGGAGCCAGTGGATAAATTATATGCTGATACACAATCGGGCAGATTGAGAAATATCAGAGTTCTCTTTTTCTTTCACGTTTAAAGATCTGAAAGCACTGATTTATTCTTAAGTGTCCAGACTGCAGTACAATTCCATTGCCTTTGTATTGCAAATGCACAGTAATTGCAGTGGAAAGTAATTTAAATGTAGTTGCATATGCACATGTGCTCTTTGTGTTGTCCTTTTTCCAACAGGAAAAGCAGCAGTGTGTGTGCTGAAAGCGCTGGTCCTGAAAAAGGATGAAAGCACACTTATACAGTTGATATATTTTGATATACAATTTTTTTTAATAATAATGCAGACTTCTTGTGAATTGCTACCCAAGATTATTGCAAATATCAATATCTTAGCAAGACAAACCGGTGTACAGATGGAGTGTTGTATTTTTTACATGATTTGGTGCAAGTATAACCAAAAGAAGTTTTTAACTCTGTATTAAAGCACAGCAAAGTGCAGCTTTACCTAAAATTGACTTAAAGTGATTAGATAGTAGGATGACACCTTGGCACAGTGGTTAGTTGTGCTGCCTCAGCCCTGGGTTCTGTTCTGGACCTGGGGTGCTGTCTGCGCGGAGTTTGTGTTTTCCCTGTGTTTGCATGGGTATCCTCCGGGTGCTCCAGTTTCCTCCCACAGTCCAAAGACATACTGGTGGGTTAATTGGCTTCTGGGAAATTAACCGTGGTATGAGTGTGTGTCTGTGTTTGTCCTGCGATGGACTGGCTTCCTGACCAGGGTGTATCTCACCTTGAGCCCTTTGCTTGCTGGGATAGGCTCTGGCTCCCCCACGACCTTGAATTGGACAAAGAGCTTAGAAAATGCTGTTGCAGTCTCTGGTCATCTGGTCAAACAGATGCTTAATAATACACAAGGAATTATGTTCTATAGTGTTCTTCATCATGGAATGTCTATTGCTGAGTATTCAGTCAATGTCAAATATTTGCTGTTTCTCTCCAAAGATTCTTCTGCACTTAATGAGCTGCTGCAGTCTCCAACAAGATGGCTCTATACTTTGCACCACAGTTGAATCTACCTATAGTAAGAGCAAGATGCTAATGCTGGCTTTGAGGTCTACAGGGAGAGCCATAACAAATGTTCACTTTCATTTGCCTTGAACACAAAAGAAAACCACATAACAAAAAGTATAATACACCTGTATCCACCTCTGTAATTCAATGTAAGAGGGTGGTTAAGAATAGGTCTCTTGGTTCATACAAGTTAATGCACAACAGAAAATGAATTAAAATGAATTAAAAGGGTTGGTTTCTGAGTGAAGACAGAAACATACTGTACTGTTTGAATTGAATTTGTGGTGGTTAGTGCTGCTGTCTCGCATATCTTGGCTCCTGGGTTCGAGTTCAGACTGGTGCATCTTCTGTGTGGGGTTTGCATGGTTCTCTTGTGTCTGTGATCTTTTCCAAGGGCTCTTGTTTCCACCCTCCTTCCAAAGACTTG